TATACTTTAAATGTTTTCTATGGCTAGAGCAAAAACACTTAGAAAATGATGCAGATCTTATTTTCATTGTACTATGAATTTTCCAGAATAGCAACTTAGAAATAATGCACCAAATTATGTGCTGTTCAAGCACTACTAGTTTACTTTTGTTGGGAAAGAATGTTCAAAAGATTGATATGGTCGAACGCGCACCATTGAAGTTGCCGCCGGAAAGTGGTTCCGGCGCCGCTCAAGAGAAGGGCGCCGATTACTAACGCCGCAGCTCCGTCACGCCTCGGCCAGGCCCAGAGAACTCCCTTATCGAGCAGCTGGACCGGCGACCTTCAGCCCGGCGGCTATAAGAGCGGGCCCGGCGAGTGGTACGGCAGAGTGCATTCGCTCCAGTGACCGTCACAGGGAGGACGCATTGAGGAAGAGCTCCGGCAGCAGCTAACAACAGTCCTTTTAGGACTTAAGAGCAAGCGAGGCTGCCACTTCTAGGGCAAAAGCAGCCATGTTGACGCCCGAGTCGTCTCCGCGCGGCATTCTTCACCCCTCACGGAGAAGAGAGCAGCGAGCGTGGCAGGGGCAAGGGAGAGGCAGGCAAGGGAGCTAAGCGACGCTTAGGCTCGCCCTCAACAGAGCCGCATTTGCGCTAATTCTTCTCCTGCTTCCAGGAGGAAAATCGAGGAAGAAGCGCGCAGGCCAACTCGCCGCGCCAGAGCCGCCTGCTGCAGCCATGACGACGCGCCGCGATCGACACCGCCGCACTGCCAGCCCGAGGAGAAGAAGCAGAGGAGAAGACGGTTTCGAGATCGTCTCTCGACGCCGCCGACGCCCACCCCCAATCTTTCTTTACGGTGGCGACATTTCGGGCCTCGAAGGGCTGAAGTCGCCTGCGGTGAAAGCCGAAATCCACGCGCGGAGGTGGAGCGACGCGGTCAGGACGTGCGAGTCCTCGAGGCGCAACGGATGCTCTCGCCGCCCTGGAGGAAGAGCCGTGGAGTAGCCCGTACTCCACGGAAAGCGAGAGTGCTGAGGTTGTCTGATGGGATACCCTAGAACTCTCGTGCAGAGGTTGCATGAAACCTTGCATTGATCAATTTTCAGGTGCAGAAGCTGAGGCTGATTAGCCAGGCGGGGCAGAGGGCAGACCTGCTCTTATATCGCACGTTACAGGACACGGAGCGCCACCGCGCGCTCGTGAGTAAAACATCGGGGCGCCCGCGTGCGCGTGGAGTTGTATCGCCCGCAGGCGCCCACGCAGTGCCACAATTGCCAGGATTTCGGGCACGTGGCACGGATTGAGCGCGCCACGCGCTTGCAAAAAATGCGGGAACTGCACGACGCAGCGCAAATGCCCATGGGGGAAACCCGCAGCGGAAGAGCGCGCAATGCGGCTAACTGACGGGACACCACGGCAAAGTACAAGGGCTGTCTCCGGAGTTACAAGCGCCGCTGTTTCAGAGGAAGCAGCAAAGTCCAGCAGCAGCGACAGGAGCGGCAACAGCGGGACAGACAGCGACGCGCCCGCATCCAGAGAGGAGAGCGCCGACACCAGTCGAGGCGTCGCCTCTCCCTCCCGGGAGCGCGAGCCATCGCGCCGCGCCGCACACCCACGCCGCCGCCGCGGGCTCAGCGTTCGCCCAGACGCGAACGCGCGCCGAGACGCAGCAGCAGCAGAAGCAGGCCAGGAGCGTCATACGCCACCCGGACCAACGCCCCCGCCCACCCAGGAGCACCAGCCGACGGCGCCGAAACTGCTTGGGAGGAGCGCGCGTGCGCGCTCGAGCAGAGTAGGCGGACGGCGGCGAACGTACCTGTTCCCTCTTCACTGAGCGAGCAGAAGCGTGTGCTGCACAGCGTGGGACGATCTCGTCAGGAACGGGATCGCCCGGACAAGGTTTGCATTACGATATGCGAACGTCACCGGCTGCGAACCCGAGTGGGCGTCAATCATGCTTAAGGTTGTGCATAACACTACTCCACTGAGCATGCACATACACGGCGGCGGGGGCAACGGGGGGGGGGGAACGCTCATTCCTCACCCGTCACGACTTCCTTCCTCACCCTAAATAATGCTAGCTCCGTTTTTTTACAGGAACACGCAGCACCGTTGCATTTTGGAATGTAACGGCATCTGCTCGCGAGAAAGCAGTTCAGAGCTACACAGCTTCTCTGCTCAGCATAATGGTTCTCAGTATGATTTGGGAGACCATGCTTATCCCGCATCTATCTTTGAATATTCCAGGTTTCTTCTGCTACAGAAACGACAGGGCGGCGCAGGCAGCGAACGCGACAGCGCCAACAGAGGAGGCGGACCGCTATTAGTTAGACGCAACATAAATAATTATGTACAGAATTACCGCAGCTGCAGCACGCCGAGGCCACTGCTGTGTCGTTCAGACGGAGCGAGGGCCGCTGCGACTCGTATCTAGTCTACGCACGCCCCGATCGCAAGCGCGGAAACGTGCGCACCTACTAGCCGCAGACTGATTGCAAAACTAGTAGAGGCTAACACAACTCCAACAATTGCTGGCGATTTTAATGCCAAAACACACGGCCTGAGTTCGCGTATTACGTGCCGCTCGCGGCCTGTAGCGTGAAAGCAACTGCTGATGCAAAGCGCTGCGAGATTCTAGTGCACCAAATACGCCCACCTACTAGTCCTAAGTAGAGCGAATGCAAGCCCGTACACTAGATATCGGCGCTACTGCAGAAACTCCGACTACCCTCCTATACTGACTACCATTCCAAGAACTCCCTCTGACATTTCCCAGTGATCAGGCGGAAATGAGGCGCGGCGGGCTAGCTTGGTCGACTGCACCCAACGACACAGAAAGGCGCACGGACTGGAAGAAGATTTAGACGAGCTGCAGCAGCGCCATACCAGACGCACGCCCTGACAGAACCGCAGCAAGATAGAAGCTGGAGAAAAATCGCCGAAGCTGTGACTGGACACCTAAACGAGGGCAGCAGAGAAGCAGCGTTCATTAAGAAGGAAGCAACCAGTATACCCTTACTTGTCAATTTAATTTCTAGGAAAAACAGGGCGCGCAGATTGGGCTAGAACACGCGAGCATCCAGCTGTAAGCGGGAGCTAAATCGATTGAAACGCAAAGTAGAAATTCGAATAGCGGAATACCGCAATCAGTAATGCCAAATGTTGTCAGGTCTCAAACCTTGAGATAATTCCACTGTGTGGCGCGTTACACGCATGCTTTCCAGGAATACCTATACGGGTGCGCGCCGCTTCAGACCAGCAAGGAGAAAAAAAATCGCTGAATCCATGCAGAGGAAGGCGGAACCCTAGCTAATTCTAGAAGTCTCAGTTTCATGCCGTGGCCAGAAGGCGCCGCGATCCGGCACGTTGTCGAAGTGCAACAAACGGTATGGGGCCTTTGCATGCGCCGCCGACGAGCCGAGTTTCACTACAGAAGCTGAAGTAAAGCCGCCATCTCGGAGCTGAAGACTAGAAAAGTCCCGGCCCCGACGGCATCACTAACGACGTCCTGAAAAGGTGCCGCAGGCAAGCCACAGTGTTCTTGGTCGCACTGTTTAATGCTATTTTTATGTTTCGAGATTGCCGACGTCAGTGGAAACATGCGCATGTATTAACATTTCACAAGCGGGGAAAAAAACCCGAAACACCGAATCATACAGGCCCATTACCTATTTAAAAACACGTCGAGAACTTTGTGAAAATTATATGCAAAATAGAATTCTAAGATTTGTTACAGAAAACAAACTTCTAAATAAGGAGCAGTTTGGCTTTCGGCGGGACAGTAGGCACAACGCATCAAGCTTGTGCGGAATCACGGACAGCATTATAGACGCAACTTCATGAGCGCCGATTTACAGGTGGAGTTTTCTCGATGTTGCCGCCGCCTTCGATAAGGTCTGGCACGTCGGCCTCCTTTAATAAAACTCCATTCCATAACCTTCCTATGTACCTATATACACCTAATCCAATCATACTGGCAACAGAACGTATTCAAGTAAGCTTCTGAATGCTAAATGCTACCGCCGGCCCGTACGGCCGGGTGCCGCAAGGGAGCCGTGATTGCTCCTACGCTCTCTCAGCATGTACGTGCGTGATATTCCTACACCCCCTCAAACAGAACTCGCCTGTATGCAACGACACGGCTTATAGCCACGTCCCAAGAATATCGGCTCCTTCAGAAGTATTTGATCTACATTTGTTTACGATCCGGATGTGGCTGAACTGGTGGCGGTAACAGTCAATGTGAGTAAGAGCGCGCTGTGATCTTCACACGGGACGAAGATTCACGCGGCGAGGGCATCGCGGCTTTGCGGGGAGTGATAATTGGACAAAAATGTCAAATATTTTGTAGGAGTTACTTTAGATAGCTTCTTTAACTTTTCAACCGCACTTAGAAAATGTGCGACAAAAAGCGCGGCAGACCCGAGCAGATTGCGAAGCTGTTTCACAGGGCAGCAACACTGTCAACGCAAAACTGCCTACGCTTATATAAGTAAAATTAGGCCGCAAATGACTACGCAATGCCCGGAGCTGGCAATTGCAGCAAATATCACTTAGAAAAAACTGCAAGCAGTAGTTCAAACGAGAGTGTCTCAGGGGCGCCCTCTGCGCCCTAGAAACTCGTATAGAAACTCTACATGCGAAGCATCAGTGCCACTTGCTAAAAAAACACATAAAACTTTAGCTAAAACTTTTTGAGAAAGCAGTTTGACTCGGACAATGAACTCATTTCCGCGGAATCGCCTCAGTACGAACCTGATCTAAGCGGCCGAAAAGTAGGCGAGTCCGAAAACTTTCTGGAGTAAGAGCATCTGAAACAGAGAAGTGGGATGGGGCATAAACATAGTATTACAAAACACGCAATTGTCGCGCGCCGTGTAGGCTAATGTCTTTCTGACCGTTGTTTTATTCTCTTATGTTACAGGATAGGCCATAGATGCCCGTAAGGGGTAGGAATTGGTCCATGCGTGTGGGTGAACGCGGCATTGCACTTTAAGTTGCGTTCACAAAACGCACCAGATTTGCTCCTCGAGTGTCAGAGTGTGGAAAGGCGGCCTGGAGTGGTGTTATAGTGCTAGTAAAGCGTGTTACAGAAAGGTTAACGAAATCTGACTTTTCCTGCGGCGAATCAGTGAACATCGCAACGTCCCCGGTATATCTCCTGGAGTATGTTCGAAGCTGGCTGTATTAGTGAATCTCATGTTGGCTTGTGGTAATAAAAAACAGTTTTAAAAATCACTGTTCTTTTTTGGATATAACAAAGATGTTTTATAAAACCCTTCCACCAAAGTCCACATCAAGAGTTGCAGCAAACCACTGTATTAAAAAAAGTAAGCAGCCAAATTACTGCCCTGTGAGCCCTTGAGAAAAACGCCAACAGGTGCAGGCAGGAAAATTCAAAACTCACAAGAAAAGTTATAGGAAATAAAATGTATAATTTTCTATTACGCAAATATAACATAATTTATGCCACAATAATTATTAAATTGATTTTACACACACTTTAGTAGTCAAAGGAAAAAAAAAACAATAAACAAACAACTAGATAATTAACTCTGAGAAAACTTTGCTTTAGTCATTAGAAACCAGAGTAGTGCCTGAAAATTGAACTTATTACCGATTACAATTTTGTGATTCATTGTCATTATTTTCCATTGCCAAAACATTTGAAAAATAAACACTCACCCAAAAAAAGGGAATGTTTTCATGTTATGTTGCTGATAATGCATTCTGAGCTATAAATTATTCACTAATATATGCATTGTATGCTTTGTAGCTGGGAAGAAATTGTACACATATACATCTATCACTCTCACTCTCACATGCACGCACACACACACACATTTTATATATATTTACGCATGCAAAACTTCTGTAACACCCAGGGATCTAGAATGCTCAAAACAACACAATGATTAACTTATGATGTATTGGAAAAGTCTAAATAAATTCACAAATTTATAAGTTTAGTGGTTTTCCAACAGATATATGCTTCAATCTGTCCCATGGAGTGACACCGCGAACTGTAGGTTCTAAGGGATTAGCATACACATCTGCTACCAGTTCTTCTAATCCTATTTCTGGATCAGATTTGGCTTTTTTCGCAGCTTCATCTACAGTTGCTCGGATTTTTGCTTCAAGTTTCTGTGAACAGAATGATCAAACCAATATCAACACAGGTTCATTAATGATGATTAACAAATTAATACTTTGAGAAGTGAAAATAGTGGAACTTCAAATTAGAGCATTTCTCAATTTAAAAAAAAAAATTATAAGTCTTGCTATTACAGATCTGTTCAAATTATTAGACTTGCAAAAAAAAAATAAAAATTAGAAGTTATTATTTTGTGATATAATAGCAGAGACCTAGAGAAATGAAAATCATTTTTAATTATTAATCTGCCATCTTCCAACAAATAACATAACTTTTATAAAGCGGATGTGTCACTAGTGAACATTAGGTAAAGTACTATTGCGATTACCTGCAAATGGCTTTTGTGTGCAATAGTACATGTGTTGTGTTGTGTATAACAACATTCTATTATGTGACATTGTTATATTTCTTTTAAAAAGTGATACATTCATGAACTTCACTGATGTGGTAGATCAGTTTAATGGCTTGTTAATGTGAATACTTATTATAATTACAGAATTTTGAAGGAATATATGTTAACAGTGTGAAATAGGAAGGATCTTTCCTTTCATAAGTTGCAGTTCTTGAAACTCTTCTGGAGAAAGGCATCTATACACAGAGGCATAGTGATAAAATACAATAAGTAACACATTCGTTAGAGTCAATTTTGCAATGAGAAAAAATGAAACGCATCAACAGAAAGGAATAAGAAAATCTGGGAGAAAACCAAAGTTCCCTCCTCGAGGCATAAGAAAACCAAAAAATTCGGCTCTGAAGAACAGGAAAGCTACTTCTAAAGAAGAATTAAGTATGAAGATGTTTGAGTATGGTTATGTGCGGTGATCGTTTGAATCTGCCGCGCGCGCGCCATAGACAACGCGCGCTCCGTGAGCCGCTAGTAGGAGCAGCAGCACGGCCATGATGCGCGCCAACGTGCTCCTGGCGAGGAGCGAGACTATGTCAGCGCTGCGCCCGCCACATAACGTGCCAGCCATGAAGGCCAACGTGGAAGGCAGTTCCCGTGGTACAGTGAGTAGCGTGCAGTGCGGCCTCAGGCAGTGGAGAGTACGGTCGTACGAGGAGTCCAGCCATTAGAGGTGAGTCGTCAGTGATAAAAGCTACGGGGCGGCGAGATCGCCCGGAGAGAGATGACTTGGTGGGAGTGGGAGAGTCACCCTCCTGGCCGGAGGCGGCCCAACTGGGGCCGCGGCCCTTGCTACGACAGCCGGAGCGTAGGGCCGGGCCAGGGATTACTGCAACATGGCGTTTCCGCTCTACAAGATGATCTGGCGTGACAAGAGACGCGGCACACCGCCGAGAAGTTGAAGATCGTTTTCAGAAAGACATTAGCGTGTGTACAGAATTTTAAGCAAATGTAACAAATTTAGACTGAATGACTGACTGACATTAAGTCTATGTTCGACTTTCATTTTTGGAACATAACAGCGCGCGTGTTCCCCCAGGAAGTGCGAGAAGTATTCTGTGTAGAAAGCATAACAACACAACGCTCCAGAAAAAAAAGAGCAAAAATTACATCTGCAATGTCAAAGAAGCACGTCGAATGGGCACGAAGTCTGAACCACTGGACGTGCAAGACAGGAGGAAAGTGTGTGCTAGAGATGAATCCTGTTTCACCGAATGTGACAAATCTTCCAGATTTCTCCGGCGTTCTAATTCGAATGAGTACAACAAGCTGTACGTAGAGAGAATAATAAACCAAGACCAATACTTAAGTGTTTAAAGAAAAATTACTACCACAGGCAGCTACAAGCAATCTGGTTTAATGAAGACTTTTACATATTTAGGCACGACGACCCACCCTTCATCTCTTGTATGATAGTCAAAGGGCGCCACCTTGCGAGCGCGCCAAAAATAACCGCGACGGTCCGACATCAGACCGCTCGATACACAGACGCCGGACACGCGGTGACGAACGTGTTACGCTCGTCTCTTACTCAAGCTGTATATTTAAAAAATTCGTTAAATAAACGCCATTCCCATTGAGTATCGTTTATCGTTATTCTTATAGCATATTAAATTAAAACCGTAACGGAAAAAGATATTAGCGTATTTCCATCATCGGGAAACATTCCCGACATAAATCCCACAGAAAACCTATGGGATGTTTTAAAAAAACATTTTAACCAAACACCACTTGATTGAGGAAATAAAATTCATTATTGCATACAAGAATTGATTTTAAGCTCAAGTGCATGAAAGTTGTGGAAAGCACGTCGCAAAGATTGAACGCCTTGAGAAAAAAATCCATATTAAATACTAATTTTTGTGATTGTTCTTCAAAAGCAAATAGGTATGTACTATATCTATATGAAGGAGTCAGCTGCTATGATCAGATGTTGTTTTTTTTTGTGGTTTCTCCAACCAATACTGGAGCAGTATCCTAACAAATGGGCCATCTACTGAGCATTGCTTATCCTTGTCCTTTCCCTTCCCCTGACGTATACACTACCCTGCACGTCGGGAAGCCAGTTGAAAGAAATGCTTGTCCTGGCTAAGCCAATGCCCTGCTGGCAGAGATATCTGGAGAGGGAATCCCCACACTCTTAGGCCAGTAGGTGTAGTGATGGAAACATTTCGGAAATGATAACATTTCATAAAATAGAGCTTTTCATTCATGAAATAAAATATGAAGATTAAATTCTGGTGGTATTACTACATTTCAAACATACTATTTCTTCTGTAAATCAACTGTTTTCTTCTTAAGAATCAGATGTCTGGTGCTAAAATGCAGAAAATCTTTAAAGGTTTTATATCATTTGATGGCGAATATCTGTTCATTGTTTTATCTTCCAAGTCTTCACAAAAGTGGCTACTACACCACACTATTTCTCATTAATATTTTTCAAGGCATTGTGCAATATCTTTATTTAATATGAAATTTCCGCTACCAGTTTTACAGATAGAAACTACCTACCATTATATGGAATCACAGACAACTCTCTATAAACCAAAACACTACACCAATGGGTCAACCCATTTATTGTTGATTTATTGTTAGCTTCAGCAGTTCACTTTCATCTTGCTTAAGCAATTAGTACGTCAATATGCTTTAATTTTAATTTTTCATACAGTTATTTAATAGGATTTATCTATGGGACTTTGTATTATTGAATAAATAAAAATAAAATAAAATGATATAATACTGTGACAGTAACCAGAAATTAAATTTTAATTTAAACCACTACCACTACTATACAGTTTCTTGATGAAGAAAATTTAATGTATATGAAAGACTGACAATTCAAAGTTATTTTTACTGCAACATGAATAGCACTGAGGCAGTCCTTTCTCCTTGATAATACTTTACCTCTGCTTTTAATTTAATTTCATGGAAATTCTCTTCTACACAGTATTAGTATTATGAAGGAAAATTATTTGAAGAAAATAATAATAAGTATGAAAACAAGTTGTTCTTTTCTTATTCCATAGATCCAAGAAATAAAATGTTTGATTTAAAAAAGAAAGTTATTTGATTTATTTTACCTTAATTTCTTCTGCTTCAGCAAGGCCAGAAGAAATAATTTTTTCTCGAAATGAAGTTATTGGGTCTCTTGACTGTCGCACTTCTTGAATTTCTTCTCTTGTGCGATAGCTAGTACCTGGGTCAGACATTGAGTGACCACCATATCTGTAAGTGGCTGTTTCTAATACAATTGGACCTTTTCCACCCACACAGTGATTAATTGCATAGCGAGCTGCTTCACGAACCGCTAAAATATCCATTCCATCAACCTGTAGCAAATCATAAGCATAAAGAAAAGAAAAGAAAACCATGGAAGGGAAATAGATCACTGAAAGATTGTTTATCCAAGCTGTAAGTTTTAAAACCCATCAAATTTTAAACTTTTCATTTAAGTTTAAACCACTCAACACCTTCAAACTATGAGTTCACACGAATCTTAAAAGTGAATTTAGAAACATATGAAGAAGTACTAATTAAACTTATAAGTACACAAACTTTGCTGCAATATGAGAATGGTTAGCTTAATTTCCTCAAATGAATCTGGGATGAACGATTTCTGAGCAGACACGGCAGTGCAAGTTGTACACTCTCTGGGCCGAGCTAGTGGGGTGGTAGATCAGAGAAGGCGGGTGCGGAGGAGGAGGAACAGTAGACAGAGGTGACATTCATACACGTGTATTATTTGTAGCACACCTTAAAGTTGTAAATCAACAGTTCGAAATTCGAAATCTTCTCTGAATAAACCCGATCTTACACATGGGGACTCAGCCAGGTTCGTGCGAGTGAAGAGAGATTCGTCGCGTTGCGAATTGGAGGTTAGAGGTCGTATGTAGTTCCAGTCAAAACTAAATAGGCGAATCGCTAAGTTGGGCAGTTCATTAAAGTGAACCGAGAGTGGCAAGTTGAACTAGGTTTCATCAAGATAACCAGTAGTGAAGAGATGGAGATAAAGAATGTAGAGGTGGAAACTGACGAGAACGTAGAAGGTACGGCCATGCCGTCCAAGAAGAAGAAGACGTAGCAAAGTGGGCGATGAAGCAATACAAGACTATAGAAGCCCGTAGGGCTGTCAACTACTAGAGAGAAAAAGACAGCTGATAGAACACTGCAAGACCGCATTAATATGTGTCGACCTTCAGAAGACGAAAAGCCTGACAACTCGAAGAAAGAAAGCATGGAAAGGAACACAGGCAAACTGATAGACGAGCAAGACACAAGCAGTAATCTTCCCCCCGGTGAGCTCGAGCAGAAAATGGGTGGGAACCTGTGCGAAAGCGAAGAGGAATTGGGCATGTCGCATTTCCATGAAAAAGGTGCAGCTACAGCAAAATTGCGATCGGCAAGTTTGTCGAGCGCGTTGTCAGGTGAATGCCATAACGCCCACGTCGGCATGTCGCGAACGTACAATAAACGCGCGACGGCGAGGAAAGTGGCAAAAACCGAACGCGCGAATTTGAAACAGAGGACAATGAGAATTTGTCGACGAAAGATGACAACGTTGATAACAGAACGTTGGGAACCGACGATGGGAACACGACCTCGAAGAACGATGGGAACGAAGATGGACGCCACACACCATGTTCACCATCAGGGACGCTGAAGAAGGTTTATCGCACTTCACCGGGGATGATGGAATGTCACAAAAAAAATTAATCCGCGAGTTTGAGGACGTCAGCAAGCTCTTGCAATGGAATGACTGAAGATTATACATGCGAAGCGTATGCTGCAGGGGTCCGCAAAAAATGAATGTCGTCGCACAAGACGTCCCATTGGAACGCATTCAGAAGTGCGTTGTGTCAGGAGTTCGCTATCAGAATCAATTCCGCAATAATCCACAACCAGTTGGGTCAACGCAGACGGGCGACCAACGAAACAGGACAACAGTATGTACACTCAATGATGGAGATTGCCCACCATCATTGAGTCGAAATCGAAGAGGAAGCCTTCATTGAGAATTTCGTAAATAACATTCCGGACAGCGAGATCAACAAGGTAATTCTTAACGGTGTGAAGAGTTTCAAGAGTTTAAGAAGAAACTTGAAATACACAACAGAATGAAAGAAGACAGGACAGCCAGAAGTAGCGTCAAGAAAAGAACACAAGGAAAAGTGGAATATCCAGCAGCACGGAAACGAAGGCTGAGGAGAGACTACCATCAGAAGACAGTGTTTTAATTGTATGTATACTATGAGTCGAAATGTTTGAAGTGCAACAGACTTGGACATATGTCTCGCAGATGCTCGGAGAAGAGAGAGGTAGGTTGCATCCAGTCGAACGGGGATAAATATATTCTAAACAATAACTGGAGTAGAATGTCGTGCACTGATGGATACCGGAAGTGATATAAACCAGAAGCAGTGGGACGTGTACAAGAAACTGGGAAATTGGGTGGTTATTGTAAGAAAGAAAGACGGTTTGCATAGGATGTGTGGATTATACGATGCTTAATAAGATTGTTCGCAGTCACTTCACAATGCCTCTATCAGATGATGTAATCGACAATTTTTTAGACGGTGTGGTGGTTTTAAAGGTTGATTTGAAGAAAATGTATCAACAAATGCCTGTACATCCAGATAGTATTAAAAACACCGCGTTTGTTACGCAAGACGGACAGCTAAAATTCGTGATGACTCCTTTTGGTTTATTTGAATGCTCTTCGTGTTTTTGAAGTGGCAGCGTTCTGTATTTCGATATTTGGAAAGAGAGGGATCGCAGTACGTTTTGTTGACGATATACGAATCAAGGCCAAAAACTATGTTGAGGCTGACTCTAATCTAACCAAAGTCTTACAAGTAGCGGCAATGAACGGACTGCAGCTGAACTTTAAAACGTGTGAGTTTCTCACAAAATCGGTTGAGTTTTTAAGCCATATACTAGGAAATGGAACCGTGAAGCCAGCACCCGGAAAGATTCAGGAGGTCCAGACGTTTCCTGAACCCAAAACAAACATGTCCAAGAGATTTTTGGGAATGACTAATTATTTCAGGAAATGTATAAAGGATTATGCTAAGGATTGCTGTTCCATTGTGCGAGGTTAAAGACGAGACACATTTCTACTTCGGCGAAACTCAGAAGTTAGCTGTTAGGCGAGTGGAGGAGACCTTAGCTAGTGAACCGGTGTTGCAGATCTATGATCCGGAGGCGATCACAGAGATACACAGGGATGTAATCAAGTTAGGATAGTGTGTGGTGTTACTGCAGAAACGGCCTGATGAGAAATGTTTTCACTCTCTTTATTACATAATCCACAAAACGATTGAAGCTGAAAAGAAATGGAGTTCCTATGAGCTCGAAGCTCATGCGTGGTTGAGGAGGTGAAAAAGCTCCGTGTCTATATGATAAGTAGAAGTTTAAAATCGTCACCGATTATCAAGCCTTCCAAACTTTAAATAAGGAGAAATTATCACCAAAAGTTACCAGGTGGGCTTCGGCTCTCGATGAATATGATTATGAAATCGACCATCGAATGAAACAAGGATGCACTGAACAGGAACCCTGTAATGGCCGTGTATTCGGTGTCAGCATTAATCAAGAGAGAACTAGATAAAGAGGAACGTCTCAAGGTGATCAAACAACTAGTGATTCTAAGAAACCGTATGAAGGTTATTTGATAGACGACAACATTTCAAAGGAAATGGTGAACGGGAAGAAAGTTTTGCCACCATGCAGCAAGAGATACAACGGAAGACACTCATGACACTGGTCACTTCGGGGCGAAAAAGATGCAGGAAGCCATCCAAGAAGAATATTACATGCCCAAGCTGAGAGAGAAAACAGATCACTAGATAGTGTTGCGTCCTATGCATCTTATCGGAGAAGAATAAAGGAAAGAAAGAAAAGCGTGTTACAGCCGATACCTAAAGGAGATATCCCGCTGCATACATTTCACGTAGATCATTTGGGATCAATGAGGGCTACCGCGAAACAGTATAAACACTTCTTAGTGATAGTCGATGGATTCTCCAAATTTACGTTGATATTCCCCACTAAATCGACAGCTAGCAAAGACATTATAGCTAAGTTATTACCGCAGATATTCGGCAATCCTAGAAGGGCAATAAGTGATCGCGGGACTGCCTTCACATCCACTGACTTCAGGGAATATTGTGCACGTGAGCACATCGATCGCATTTTGATCACCCCCGGTGCTCCCGCGGGAATGGTCAGGTCGAGCGAATTAATCAGATTATGATTCCGGTTTTAACCAAGTCATCACTGGAAGTCCCAAATCGGTGGCAGTGTCACCTTCAGGCGGTCCAGATGTGTCTCAACAGTACTTTCCCGCGCAGCATCGGAATGAGCCACTTTGAGGTTCTGTTCGGCTCGAAGATGCGACAGTGTGAAGATCCAAAACTGATGCCCATTTTAGAAGCCGTGATGGTTTTTGTGAAGAAGAAAAGGACGCTCTGCGAGCCGTCGCCAAGAACAAAATTCTTAATATTCAGCAAGAAAATAAGGCCATGCATAACAAGAAGGCCGTCGAGGCTTACAGAGAGTGATTTAGTGGCAATCAACAGAGCGCAGTTTGGGCCAGGACTAAAACTTCAGAAGAAATACCTCGGTCCATACAAGGTCAGTGAAATCAAAGGTCATGACAGGTTAGAAGTGGTTCAAGTCGACAGCGAAAAGTAAGACCCACAAATTACGACAGCTGCCGATCACATGAAGTTCATTGAAGTCCCTTCGGAGAGTTAATACTTTCCAGGATGGCCGACTGTGGGATGAACAATTTATGAGCTGACGCGGCAGTGCAAGTTGTATACTCCCTGGACAGAGCTAGTGGGGTGGTAATCCTGGGAAGGCGGGAGCGGAGAAGGAAGGAACAGTAGACGTGACTGAGGTACATGTTGTGAGGTGACAGTCATACACTGTCTGTGTCTATTATTTGGTATACACCTTTAAGTTGTAAATAAACTAACAGCTCGAAATTATACAATTCTTTGAATAAACCCAATCTTACATGAATCATTTTAAAATCCAAAACTTGAAATATGTTACAGTTGTACTGAATCTTATTCCTTTCCTATGAGAAAATCTCAAAAGAATTCCTAAAGTAACTTATACTGTTTTAATATCACGGAACAATGAAGTGTTTTAAAGAATGCAATAAAAATGTTGAATAACAATGTTGTGTACTTTATTTTCAACTAACTGGAATAAAAAATTCACATTTACCTCACTTGCCCTCGAAATATTCTATGGAAAAGAAACAATTAAAAAGCAGCTGGGAAGAAAAATAAAATATAATTTATTTTGTTGCATGTTGGAAATGTTCCAACGATTTTGCCTTTTTCAAAATAAAAATAAAAAAGTTTAAAGAAATTCAATAAGTAAATATCCTCTATGAAGAGAGTGATAGCAAAAGGAATTATGTGGATAGCACAAGCTGTAGCGTTTAAAAAAATAAAATGTAAATTGCCACAATCATACTTGTAACAAAAGTTGAAAGGGTTGTCCCCTTCACTTTTCTCCACGTGATATGTTTGCTACCAACAGAAATGCAATTTCTAATAGGAGACATTGATTCGGCACAGTGCGGAAAGATTTTCCTGGCATACTTTATTATATCTCATTGGCATTAAAATCAATCTACTATAGTAACAGTAGAAACATTTTGTATTTGTTCTTTGTTTCCAACAATGTACCACAACATTAGAATTACTTATGGTTTTTTATTTACAAAAACTTTTAAATTGCACTCCAAACATAATAAAAACTCAAGACTATTCAACAAATTATGAAGTTTGTTAACAAATATATGACTTATTAAACATTAATATTAATTAAAAATTCTTACCACTTTCATCTGTAACAATAATAGTGGAAATCTAAAAGATATTAATAGTGCTGGTGGAAAATTTAGTTAGTCAACCTAAATTCATAATTCAACTTCATTTATTATTAAAAATTTAAGATTATGTGTGTTAGTGTACACCATAAAATATTTGCCAACCACATTTGGCAAAAATATTTTAGAGGCCAAATATAAGAAATAATGTAGTTGCAATTCAAAATTATACCCCCTGCTTTTAGTAAAACAAAGTGTGATATTTGCTCTCCCGAGAATATAAGGTGAGATTCAGCTTGACCCTCCCCTAAAAACCTCACATATTTTGAGGATGGCCCCTGAGGTGACCAAATGACAGAGGCGTGTTTCTAAAATAGGACAAATCAAAGTTTTATAAACAGTTAATAAGTTATTGATAGACTGAATCTATCAGGATGGATTTGGTGTTGCACAACTTATTCTAATAGGTATAATTTTATAAATATATTTTTACTTCCTCACGTACAACAGTGGTATAGAAAAAAGTTTTAAAATGCTCCGACAAAAAACTGCAATTTTTCAACCTTCGATACATAAACATACTGAAAAAGGGGATATTCCTCCCTGTTATTGAAAAAGTAGGCAACTCCTGTTCCTTCAGGCAGTAATTACTTCCTCTAACATTTACAATCAGAATCTACGTTTTATGGGCCCAACTGAAATATTGATTGACAGTATATTATCTATGAATAGCGTTATCTAAACTGCAGGTAGGAATTTCAAAATCCACATTTCCCAACTTGACCTGGCTGATATCATGGCCTGTTGTATGTGACACGTATATTTGGTTTTGGGAGTATTTTTTTCATGGATACCCCAACAACATTTTCAAAATTTTCTCAAAAGTGGCTTCACATTTTCTCTTTTAATTTTTTTCAAATAAAGTTCACTTATAAAAACATCTGATTGTCATTGAATTCTATAAATTTTTGAAACTTGCAAAGGTATAAACCTTTTTCAGCATATTTCTACAACTTTAACATTGAAAATAGAGATTTCTAATGAATAGAGCCCAGAAATTCAAGCATTTACTTTACCTAAAACAGGCACACAAAAAGGCATTTATTTTTACTAAAATAGGCATGCAAACCAGGCATTCTGGCTAAAGTAGATGGTAAAATACAGGAAACATTAAAAAAATCACCATTTAAAAGTAGTGTAAAAAATTGATAATTAAATTATTCACATTTTTATTTTAAATCTTAACTTTAGAATAGGAAGGAAACTACTTCTTCTATGTAATCTTGAATGTACTAGACCATTTGGTAAACGACTACGAATTTATTTTACTTCCAACCCTTCCTCCCAGCCTCCACGAAATGCAATTGTGGACTCCCTTTTGAATCTTGAAATGGTAACAGTGAAAATGGAATTGCAGATTTTCTTCTTCGCACTTGTGTGATCATCAGAAGGGAAAAGAGAACAAGAAGGAACAAAGAAGGGTATGTACAGACAGCTCTGTCCTCCAAAAAGGATCCGAGGTCACACACAAACACATGATGAGATTTCTCGTGAACAAACAAGTCTATAAGCATCAATGAAAAATATTAAAAATCTTGACTGGCATCATCTTCCTTTCCCCTATTAGATTAGAATTTAACCATGCATTAAGATTTGTGTGTCCTTTGTTTGTACATGAATAATCTGACTGTCATTTTAAAAAATTATGCCCTTTTCCATGTCTGCCATTCAATTAATCTTTAAATAAAGTAATGTATAATTTTTTCAAATAGGAGTCGTTCTTGCATGATTTTGTTTGAAAAAATGGCAATTTTAAAAACAAGATTTTCTCAAAAACAGCTCCTTTTTCTTTAAACCATTTGAATGCTTGAGCTCAATGCACTGATTAAATATGACAAAACATTTTGATGTATCCCTTTAATTTTCTAAAAATCACACATGTCAAGTAATATAATTTGTGTTTGTTTGTGTGTGTATCCACACACACACACACACACACTCACATGTAAAGTACGAATAAATAAGTAAATATGTGTAGTCCCCATGGAGCGAGCAGAGCAAGGGGAGGCATCAGAAGGGTGAGCGGAGCAAGTGGGACTGAAGGAGCAGGTGCAGAACAAATGAAAGGAGTGAAAGGAGAGGGCCAAGCAAATTGGATCAGGAAGCAGAAGGAAAAAGCCGATCGAGTGGATGGAATGGGTATGGAAGAAGAAACGGGCACTTCACGATGAGCAGAAGGAAAAGATAGAGCAGAATGGACTGGATGGTTGGGGCGGGAAAGGTGAACAAGACAGCCACGCCAGGCCCAGTGGAGACTTAACAGATGATTGTGATAAATCTGGGCAATGTCAGAGTAGTATAGTATAAGAGCAAGGGTAGGGATTCCAAAGCTGAAGAAAAAGTGCAGAGAGCTCTTCTCCCTCCATAATATGTTCCACTGTTTTTAACTGTTTTTTATGTTAAATAAATACAAAAATTCTCTTACCCAAATCCCTGGAATATAATCACCACGAGCAAAATAGTCTGTACTAGCAGCAGCTCTATCACTGCTTGTACCCATTCCGTATCCATTATTTTCACATACAAATATGCAAGGAATATCCCACAACTTTGCCATATTGTACACTTCAAAAACCTGGCCTTGATTGGCAGCTCCATCACCATACAGTGTAATACATACTGCATCAGTGCCATTGTATTTTGCGGCAAATGCAATTCCAACACCTAGTGGAACCTGCAGATAAAAAGTATGCTCATTGTAAAACTTAACAGAATGTAACCTTTTTTATATTCATGCCAAATATTAGCATTCAAATGCTTTCATTTCAACAGCATTTAAGAAATAATTGAAGATTTTAAAGATGGCATGCAATATTGACTAGCTTTTCAAAACTATCAACAGACAATTTTTGAGGAAGAACATAATGATCCACAATGCTTTAAATGGTTTTAAAGCAATACATTAAGAAATTCTTTCTCACTTAATAATGAGAGTAGATAATTTTCTTCCTCTACTCACTGTTTTTGTAATTACCTCAAATATTGTAATACTTCTATGCACAAGATCTGCAAATTTCCGTTACAAGTTCTCTCCTATGAATGCAACCTTAGAAAAACATCATTTGCTTTATACTTATTAAGGGCATTATCAATCAATGTACCTGGGCTCCAACAATCCCATTTCCACCATAAAAATTTTTGGCATACATATGCATGGAACCCCCTTTGCCTCTTGCACAACCAGACATTCTGCCTGTGAGTTCAGCCAGTACTCCAAGTTCAGAAATGCCCATTAAATATGTCCAGCCATGAGCACGATAGGCTGTAATTACAGCATCATTAGGACGCATAGCAGCCTTGTACCACAGCACATGCTTCCTATTAAAATTACATATAGAAAAATTAATTCAAATGAGATTGCATGAAGTAATAAACACAACAATAGGACTCAAAAAATGTAGAAACTGCACAAACAGCTTAAAATTATATCAAACTAAACTATGCTTTTGACATTTCTGAGAATGCAAATATGGTTAGAAAAATTTATTTTGCATAGTGTAACACTCCCCCATTATCATTACTTCTGGCATGCTGAGCCAAATTAGATTTAGATTTACTGAGTCAAAAAAACACACACACACACACACACACCTTCCCGTCATTTTAACTACAGATAATTGAAAGATGAGTAAAAGTTTAAAATAAATAAATTTTAAAAAAGCGTGAGATTAGCAATATTTGACAAAAATAGACATTTTCATTCCTGAGTTATAGGAAACTTATTTGCATTGGTTACCTCAGCCATAGCACAGTTGCTTTAGAAGAACCTTCAAACCAATGCAAGTCACGAATACATCCTAGCCAAGAGTGCTCGATACCAAACTCAGTTAAAACAACATCTAGCATTCAGGAATTTCAAAACATGCTTACATGTTTCTTTTAGGATGTCTATATCCAGTAAAGAAATAACTTAACTTGTTGTTACATTTAGTTACATTACATGTCCAACAATATTGGAATCATTTTCAATCACTATAATTAATGCATACACCAACTTCTTACACAACTTCACTTATATCATTTACAAAACCCACATATCCACAAAGTACACCCACTAATATATGGTGGTAAGAAAATCATTTATCAACCTCTTTTAGACTAAGAATCACAAATACTAAACTTGGTAGAATTTTGCTTGTGAAATGGTGGAAATTTGCTAGTTACTCCTGGTAGACTTTAATCGGATTCCTCTCAAGGTATGTGAACTTGTAGTTTCATACTGCTTTATATCCACTATACCCACACCACACATTCTGCACTATACCCACACCAAACATGTAAAAGGGTTTCTTGATGATATAATTAAAAGGAAGTGGTTCATAATCTATGCTGTATATCAGCAATTTAGGGTGATAAATTCAATGAATAAACCATTACACTATAAACTTCCAATTAAGCATTCCATGCCAATTGCTATACCTGTCCAGAGTATAAATGACAGAATCCTCGAATGATTTTCTCTTTATAAAGACTTCCAGCTGCTGTTTCCAGCCTCCTAATGGTTGTCATTTGAGCATAGTATTCCAGAGCTTCTTTCTGTGTAACAGTTACAGTTTGAGACGGACCAGTTTGAAGTTTATGTAGACGAAATGGCTAAAAAAAATCACAACAAGATTTAAGAATTTTAATATTTCACAAGAGAAAGTAATAAAAGTGAAATAGATTCGTTTGCATTCTTACCTTTGTTTCAAATGTTGCTTCTGTTGCATAAGTATTTTTTGAAGAACCAAAAAAAGAAGACAAGGCTTTCTGAAACATTAAGAAAATCATATAACAACTACACTGTAGCCACCAAGATTGAAATGGGATTACCTTTAAAATCTCTCATATAATTTGTTACCATTGACATTTCCATGAAATCCGGAACCATTCTAACAGCAACATCCTTACCAGTTTGAAACCAGGTTCCATACTAAGCAGCATGGAAAACAAGGAACAAATTGACAATTTTCTATGGCTAAATCAGGTTTTGAATTACTGCGCATGGTTTTTAAATAAACCGCCATGTATGAATTTCAATTTTAGCCAATATTATTACGATAAGCGCTCCAGCAGGATTTCCTATTTAGTGTAATTGAGAAATCAGAAAGTGATTTACCTTCCTTTGTGTTGATTTTGTGCTCAAGCTGCGAATACATCTTGGAATCATTGTGGCTCTCGTCTGAAATATTTCGTAACAATCTACACTGCGAGAACGATCGTGTTTCTAATGCTTTTCGAAGGTGACCTACAATCTCGTGTCCTGCACACGTCAATTATTAACCGAGCCAATGATCGCTTGTTTCTCGAACTGCAGTGCCGGCCGATCTCTCGCTTTCTTACATCGACTGAACGGAGTCGAGTAGTCTGGCCTTGGAAAACAAGATCTCTCCTATTTATAAATTAAAGTTCTTTCTATACCGGGTCTCGGACCAGTTTGTTATTTAGTATCATGAAACGTTCTTCCATAACAGAACAGCACTGCCTAGTTGTGAGCAGATATACTCGTGGACACAACACTCGTGAGGAAAGTTGAGAACGACGTAATATAGACATGCTAATGCGACGCGTGGACGAACTACACTTCGATTTATTACAGAGAACTTTGACGTTTAATCAGCTGGTACAATGTCATCCAATCGAAAGCATAAGCGACACTACTATAGGTTTTATTCAAGTTCCTGATTAGATGACATCACAACAGCTGATTTACGTCAACGGACTCTATGTTTAAATCAAAGTATACCATGACCACCACTGCGACGGACGTCGTATGGATATGGCTATTGCGCACGTGAGAATGTCGTGGGAATGGGGTGTCTAGATTATCGCGTGTGTTACGCGTGATCGTGTTTTGCGCTGTGTAGTGATGTTGGCATAGGCATTGGATCATGATTGCATAGAATCCGTGTACTGAAGATGACACCGGCATCACACGTGATCGGTTAGGATCACCCAGGATGTTTGGGAAGGGCTTCACTTTCCTGGCTAATGAAGGTGTGGCAGGAACATTTTCTCTTTGATCTTCGCAAATGTAAAAGCTCTTGAACACTGAAACTATTAAAGATCTCGGAATCCCTGATACACCTGTACTTCCTCAGATGTTTCCATATTTCCAACAATACCACATGACTTGATAATAAATAGTTGGGATATTTGAATATGATTCATGAAGATACCTTTACCAAATAATGAAATCATATTAAGAACTAATCGTTAAATTTCTTTCTTTTTTATTTACTTCTGCTTGGCCAGAAGGCTCTCAGCAGCCGAGTACGATACCTGAGGGTACAATGAATTATATTGGCCTTGTTTAAGGAATATTATTCACTGATGAATACATTGAGTACGTGGATTGAATGTGTGAAGCCACATCAGGTACTTATGATCAGGTCGAAGATATGTCGCGGTAGTATCCGCTGTAGTCTGTTGTTTTCGATCGTAAAATTTCTATTGAACTGAAAATTATTTTTTGACAATGAGCATTAACTACAATTAAAGGTGACCTAACAATTAATTGATGGATTCATGAACACCCTATTCACAGAAATTATTTCAAGACAATTGGAGAGTAAGGTGCTTGAGAGAATGTGACATTTTCTTTTGTAAGGAACGGTCTATAAATTATGTAACGCAAATTTGGAGTATTTACTGTTAATGTTGTATTCTTTTTATGTTAATTCGCTTGTTTACAAAGAGTACTATACATAGAGCCGCCACAATTGCCCGCGCCGCCATAATGTTACAATCATCCTGGCGAAAGTTACGTAATAAGCAAGCAAAATGTAATATATTTATTTCGTGACGGCGAATATTTCATTCTTTGAGACAGTTCATTGCAAAGAGCACGATAAATAATGGTTATTACGATTGCAGTGTAAACAAGATTCTACAAGTAAGCTTAAAATTCAATCGCCAAAACAAAAAACACACTTTGACAGTTAGTGTCTAGTAATAAAATACAGAATGTCTTGCTAATTGCCACTACTTAAAATCAGTACACAAAACTACTGTCTGTACTTAGCATTACAGTACACAGGTTATCCTAGTTTTCTTTCTTGTATGAAGTTACCATTATTTGCACAGTTATTCTAATGTAATATTTATACGCACCTTTACCTTAAGGTTACAGCTAATTTCGAGAATATTACATTGAAATAATAAATAAAATACGGAACTTACTATGTTAGCCTGATTATTAAATAATTCCCCCGTCCATGTAGAACTATTACTTTAATTCTGTTGGATGACATAATTGTAAGGCAATTTAAATAACATACAATCTATAAAATTTCGCAAGGCACCGGGCCCCGACCAGATCGGTTCCCCAATCCTGAATGAAGAGCTTCCGATCATTAGTTTTGATCTAACACGCCTTTACAACAATTGTATCACACTACGTTATTTCCCGGAAAGCTGGAAACACACGAGTATTTCAATGCTCCCGAAACCGGGTAAGGACCTTACCCTCGCGACGAGCCATAGGTCTAACCGCCTGCTCCCAATCATGGGGAAAGTTTTCGAAAGGCTAATCCTTGCGCGAATCCAACCAGATCATCTCACAAAACTTAACGAGATGAGCAATTTGCCTTCGACCGGGACATTCAGCCCCTCAGGCACTATGTATAGCCCAGCGATCTCCGCTGATCTCCATACTCTCACCAGGATGTACCCAGTCGTATACCTCGGACATTGGTACAAGTCTTTCGACAAAGTGCAGAACAATACACTTTTTTCCAAACTAAGACAAAGCCTCCTAAAGATATAAGCGGAATATGATTGCATCCTTTCTCACAAACCGCCCTTCGTGTCAAAAAGTGGGAAAAGCGAAATCGTCAAAGCGCGGGATTTTTTGCAGAAGTCCCCAAGGCTCCGCTGCTCTCCCCCGTACTGTTCTCGCATATGTCAATGACAACCACTTGATACCACCGGATTAGGCTATTCTGTATGCTGACGACATAGCAAGTCCCTAGCAAGAGGCATGAACCTGAATCATAAGAACTGAAAAACCACTACAAAAACAGATGGAACCTTGACTCTGAAGTGGGCACAAGAAAACACTTGAACTTTCTCAGCGGAAAAGTCCCAGGCAACCTGTTCCTTTCTCGCCGCAACACACAACAACAGAGCGTTTTACGCGCCCAAGCAAATAAAAATCGGAAGCGCAAAGATTCAAATGAGCGACGCTAAGGCAACTTAACCTGGGTGTCAACTTTCGACGGGGCATGCGCTGGCAGCTTACATGTCAGACGAATCGCTCGGAAACTTCACTTAAGGGGCCGTCTTCTACACCTCAAGGAATTCTCTACCTTGGATCTTCGCCTGCCCACTTATAAAACGTCGCTCCGGCCTGTGGCCACCTACGCCGCGGCGACGTGGTGGACACTGCTCAGAGTACGAGGGACACACTTGAGATAATTCAGACATAGAGTCTGAGACTCATAGCTCGCCCTCCGTTTCGGAAACGACGAGTACTGAGGAGGAACTTGATATCCAGTCCTTATTTCAATGCTTGAGACCGGATATCATTCAATTGAAGCCTACCAAAGCCTTTCAATCAGCGAAGCTCCGGCTTTACGCTTAAAAAAAATTCACAAAACATGTTCTAACCATTAGGGCATGAGATGGCAAGCTCTCCCTCAGACATAACTAAGGACATAGAAGCGAAAACACATCTAATGACAAGTCACAAACATGACTAGAACAAATCGCCTTAACTGCGCAAAACTACTAAGGTCCGTCGCAAAACCTACACAAACAATTTACACCTAGGCAGTAACGCAAAAGGCGTGTGGCACGCATTTCGATCAAGTATCCTCTGATCAATACGATCATGATGCGATCGAATAACCCACACCGACCTTGGCTACGCCGGAAAAAATCCGGCACACCAGGCCCCTGAGGAAGACCACGACAAGATGGTCGAAACGTCGGCAACACAGCCTTCGACGCGGCGTCAAACTAAACTGGACAGCCAAGATCACGCACATGACTGGCCGCGGAAGCTAACGACATTCAAATACTCATTTCTTTCTTACAAAGTTCTTTGACATCGATTGTTAACTGCGTTCTGTCAGTTCGAACAGCCACCAAAAGATCGCATCAACTCCTGGGCGACCACGACGAAGATTTACCCATTATCAGATTTCTCGGAACCCAACTTTTTCCACGTTAGACGCGCCGAGCTCGCATTGTCATGAAAATCAGAGGAGCCGCGAGCATTTCGTAGCCATCGTGCACAGAAGCTAAGTGAAATGTATTGAGCGCATTGAAAGTTTGATTCGGAGCGCTGTCAGGCAATTCCAAGCACCTTTCTGCATTCTACGTTACATTAAACGCCAATACGTGACGAACGTGTAAATGCTAAGCGTAAAATTAGTTAGGAAAACGATTATTTTCGTCCGGACATAGGTAACCATGACAATCTCTTCAATGCCTGTTGATTCTTACGGCAATGTAGCTATCTTTGTCAATTATGTACCGTTTCTTTTCCATATACTTTCGTCTGGTGGGAACTTTCGATGGAAAAAAGTGATGTTCGTTGCAGTTTCTGCTAATGCTCTTCCAATTTATCTAAGCAATATTTCGCAACCTCAACAACTCTCTTCACGGAGTCTTCTCGAGCGGTGTGATTTGAGAAAATTTGACTTGACAGCAACAAGAGTGCACAAGATTTAGACGTTGAAGAGCCGAATTTGCTGCGAAAGAATCCCAAAACCGTCAATGCCTTCGCGTCAGCTGGGCAATATTTAAAAAAGGGTGTAGTTCTACGAAGTTTACGATCAAGTGTATTGCTCGTTCAAAAGTAGATTCTATATGTCAGCTAAAGTTTTCAAAACATTGGAAAATTTGGATGTCGATGGTAGAGTCAATGTGAAAAATATTGACGATTTCCACGATGTTGCCGAGTTTTACAAATGGAATTTCGATGCTTATCGACTAGAGAGCGATAAGCATATTGCCTTGAGCATCCTCAAAAGAAGAGGGATAAATCCGGCGAATTTGCGTGAGATCGTAGATTTCATGCGCGGTACTCAGCAATGAATGATATGAGTCTTGTTCCCGAGTATTTGCGCTTTATTCGTCTGCTTATGACCATTCCACGAACGAGAGCTTTTCTGCGCTACGCTGGGTAAACAAATTACTTGCGTTCGACAATACTGCTAAACCGACTCAATCATATAGCAATCTTGCACTTGTACCCAGAGATAAGTTGATGAGATGGATGTTAGGGAGTTTGTGTACGCCATAGCGTCAGCACTAACGATCTGCGCACGCGCAGATGCAAGAAAGTGGTGGGAAACTTAAACTGCGAATGCGCAGAACATCGATAGTACTTCGAGGTGGCACAAATTCTCTATTGACATTGGATGACTTAATTTCTAAAAGTTCCAAACGAGTGTCGTTTACACACTGCGACATTTCGAGCGTTGATCTACTTCCATTAAAAAATGCTGAATAAACTATATTTGTATGCCATTATCATAAGTTTAAGAAAACTTAAATACAATAAAAATGATATGATCCACCCACCCTTGGTACTACCCACCTGAAATTACGTTTCACTTGCCCTGCTTCCAAGTTAACTCCTTGTTTCTGTAAAGTACAATTAGCAATAAGATAATATTCTATAGTAACTCAAAATTGAATGAGGTTCAGACCCATGTGTATATGATGTTTGTGTGTGTGTTGCTCTTGGTATATCATTCTTGAAATATTTGATAAATATTTATTTACATTTGTAAATGTTTGGATACAAATTACACACAGTTTATACTGCATTAAAGCGTGGTTTTATCTTTTTTTTAGGTTATAAGAATTTTAAATAAAATGCATTTTTAGGTAAAAAATGATATGTAAATTTAATGTCATAAATATGTACAGATGATATGATGTTTAAATTTTTTTTTGAATCGAAGGCCGATGGATGCCATTCTTTGGTGCATGTTTAGATGTAAATGCTGAGTACCCTGAAGATCCTCTGGTCATTGCTTCTGAGGAGATGGTTTCATTGCATTTTCCTTTTCACTAATTCCATTTTCTACAATATCTTCTTGTAGTTCAATTGGATTATCATGCCCTCTGAAAAATGATATATTTTAAAAATTGTTTCATAGTTTAGGAACATACCATAAAAGACATACTGAATATAACTTACAATCCAAATTTTTCTCCTTCTTCAATAGTATCAGGTAATTTCTTATCTAAGGTTTCAGGCAGCAACAACGACAATAATCCACCAGTAAATGCAAGAGCTCCAAATATTATCAGAGGTAGAGGTGTCCAATAGTCTGCCTATTAAAGATTTTTTTTTTCAATTTTTTTAAGAAGAAATTTCTTAATCAAATGCTTACTGCTGTTTAAGTAATAAATATCATTGTCACCACAAGTAAGTATCAAATGTAAACATTTCATTTTTCATATTTGTGGGTACAACCTCAAATACTGAGTTTAGAAGATCAGTTCATTCTCTCTTCAGAAAGACTGTTAGCTTACTTAGCAATACTATAATAACCTGCTAATTTAAAGAAAATATGTTCAAGAATTGAATAAATATAATAAATTATGTACAGTGCAGTACAGAAGTGTTTGTTTTATTATTAAAATTGCAATGTTTTGAATAATCTATGTCCATAACTCTCAATATTGATGAATATTTGGTAGAAACTAACCAATATGATATATTTGTTATTTTGCAACATTGCAAATATTGATTGAAATGTTACATCTTAATAAATACTACTGAATGTGGCAACTGAGTCCTTGAAATATGACATTAATTAGTGAATATGGCACATTGCTAATTTTCCATCAAAATTATCCATACTTCAACAAAATTCACATAGGTTGTAAAATTATGAATGTTTTCAGTCAATTTTATTAATTGATGGTTGTTAACAAATTTAAAAGTGTTAAACACAAATTACAGATCAAAAAGTTGATTTTAAATTGATAGAAAAAATGTATGTACAGGTACATTTTTAATTAACTTTAAAACTGTTTTTCACTGCTTTAATCATTTAACAAACATTTTCAGACAAAAAATAATACATTTAGCAGTTTTTCTTATATAAATCTGTTTTAAAAAGTAGATCTTTAAATAAGTCATGTACAATTTTTGGAAAAAGAGAATTATTTGCACGTACTTTCTGTTTGAAGTTAATGCAATTATTATTATTATTATTATTATTATTATTATTATTATTATTATTATTATTATTATTATTATCAACTCAAAACTTTTTCTTCAGATATTTTTTACAGATAGAACAAAGGTTGCTTATAAGGCGATGCAAAGTTACATACAAAATCAGACCTATTCCATCTTTATAAATATATTCATTCTATTCTAACAAGAAAATAACTTTTGAAATTTTCGAAAATTAACAGTGATAAGCACACCTATGCCGTTTTTGGAAGTGTATTTTGCTCTTTTCTTTCAATACAGTGTAAAGAAAAACTTTGGAGCCATTTTTAGAAAATATTCCAGGAGCTACACGTAAAGTAATACCAAAATTTAAAGAATGATTTTCAAAATCGCTGGTTGGTCCGAAGAATACCTATTAATTTTGGAAAAACGCTTTGAAAACTCGAAATAGATTTTCCGCACATTCCATAATTTTTTCTACATTACGTAATTTCTCCTTTTATAGTGCAAGGTATGCGTCCACCTATTCAAGAAAGTAAAAATATATCTATCTTTAATATTATAGTTGTGACGTCGAAAAAATCTTGAACGTTTCAATTTTCGTAAAATCAGTGATTTCACGAAAATGAGATCTGCACCATTCTCCTAAATGTCCTTTACACTTTTAGAGGGCAAATTTTAATCTCAAAAGTTGGAACTTTTTTTACAATATATTTTCAAAATGTTGAGGCGTTATGTAAAGTAACCCCCAAAATCAAAATATCCGTTTCAAACTCGGTGAGTCTCGAGCTCCTTACTCTCATAATATGACCCCCTGCAACTTATGCCCGTTCCCCAAACTCAAGAGGATTTTGAAAGGAACGCGATTTCAGACCAAAGAGAAAATTATGGCTGCAAAGACAGCCGAGCTGAACTCCATTCCGAAAGAGCCTTCCAACAATGGCGGCACCGCTGGGAGAAGTTTGTCGAGTCCCAAGGAGACTACTTTGAAGGCCTTGGTTTCCAATGCTCCAGATATCCAATTTTCCCCCCCGGCCGAAGGTCAGATACTTTTACCACAGACTTCGTATAACGATATTACTGCAATATCATGAACATTAAATGGGCAAATATAGACTACCTAACATTATACAATTTTTTCAATAATTGAGGGGGGGGGTGCAACCTTACCGTGAGCCGCTAACTAGTACCAGAAAGTCTCTGTCATTCTGTAACATTAGTAACATTCCTGCATGCTACTTACCTAGTATAGAAAAAGTATTATAAAGACACAGCAGAAAACTGCGGTATTTTTATAAAAAAATCGTATTGTGAATCCCTGACACCGAAGAAATGAATAGTAATTCTTGTTCCTGTATGTAGTAAATACTTTTTTCTAATATGTGCAGCTGTCAGAATCCTCATTTTATGGGTCCTTGATACTGAAAAATTGATTTTCAGCATAAGTTTTCCTGCCCGTACGTCTGAACAGCGTTAGCGGCTAAACCGACGGCAGGATTTTCACCAAAATAGACATAATCGATTTGGCTGATCGTAGTCCCTGAAATTTAAAACGGATATTTTGATTTTCGGGGAGACTTAAGATGATGCCCTAAAAAGATACAATTTTCTCTAAACTGGTTCACCGGCAAAGGTGGCTCAGGGCATCAACTGATGTCACTGCAGAGCACCTGACCGGGAGTTACTAGGGATCGAATTCCAACGGTAGCAGGATTTCCGACACTTGCTAGATAGCTAGGTCGAATTCAGCAACTGTCTGGGGGAGAATTCTAGCGACCGGCGGCTCTGCGCGGTAGTTTTTCGAGGTTTCTCCGATCATCATCAGGCAAGTAGTACCCTAACAAACGGAGCATGAACCGCGCGCGATCTTTCCTTCCTCTTCCCTACCCTACCCTATCCTCCCTTTACTTACACACACACACTTACAATCACACGCACTACACTACGAAACTTGTCGGGAGACCAGTCAGGCGCTTGGAGCGGTGCCACGCTGGTCGGGGATTCCCCATTGGGGAAAATCCCCGCAAGCCGACATAGGTCGGCGCGGGATCTCGCCATCCAGTGGGGATGATCCCCCCTCCAGTGAGAGCGTAGGCTTCCGCGGCCGGAGTCAGTATTTACTTGGCTGACCGAGTGACGCCGCGTTCATGGTAAAGGTGCTGACGTTTCGGTCGCCATTCTGCGACCTTCCTCAGGGCATATAAAGCGTTACGAAACGTCGGCACCTTCGCCATGGACACGGCGTCACCCGGACAGCCAAGTAAATAAGATCCCCCATCTCCCGAGGAAGAACACGCACTACAGTGGCGGGACTAAAGACCTCAGCAATTGACCCTCCCGGAATCACTAATCAATCAAAAGTGGTTCCTAATTTTATCTGTAACTTTTTTCCTCGTTTTTTCCCCAACGTACTATTGGTGCAGATCCTATTTTCATTAAATTCTCTGAATTTTCAAAAATTACAAAAGATTAAATTTTTTCAGCATCCACTATTGAAGAAAGTGTTTATATCATAATAAAATATGTTCTTCAAAACTACCACAGATCTTTAAATAAGACCATCAACAATTTGTTTTTCAAATTAAAAGTAGCTTTTGTGTAATTTTGCATGCAATAAAAATTGTTTTAAAAGTAAAATCTTCTCAAAAATGCCTCCAAATTTATTCTTTCTTTTTCCCCCATTAAAATACGCTTAAAAATTGGCACAGGTCAGACTTTCATTGAACTCTGAATTTTCAAATATTGCAAAAAGGTTTACAATAATGTGAGAAAGTATATGCTGCTGTTGGCCATTTACATTTACAAGATTACAGTCTAGATCTTTCTTCTGACGTGTTTCACAAGCTTCAGCTCTAAGCTTCGAAATTCAAGAAGGTTATATGAAAACACATCCATCAAACCCATCCAACTTTGGGGTACAAAACTGTGTACTGAACTTAGTACCACCTACACTAGTCTTAACCATTTTTGGAACAGTACTAAAAGACTTTAATCATGTGTATGAAGTTACAGAACAAAAAATCCTTAAAACGGATAGTACAATTGAAAATTCAAAATTGTATGGTTGAGGTGCTTCCAATACTTTTCCTTCTTCTATTATAATATAAGGAGAAAAAGTTAAAAAAAATTACTTACAAGTATATTGGCATATGGAGCCAAAATTCCTCCAACTCTAGCACAAGTCGAAGCTGAGCCTAATGCCACATTACGAATCACTGTTGGAAACTGTTCAGCTGTGAACACATATATGGTGCCATATGATGCTGTAATGGCTAATTTCCCCACCATAGCCAATGTTATCAATAACCACACTGAATCTGAAAATAGCATATCATATTAACAATAATTAATATTTATACTAAATAGCATTATTAATGGTATATTTCCTGTTCACTTTGTCAATATAAGTCTAAATAATTTATGAAATACTTCGCATTTTACTCTTATTTATTCATGTTATTTTTCTCTAAGTTCAAAAGTTGTAAGTAGAGCTATGTAAATTTTTTTAACATGATTATTATTCTTAAATTTTGTTGTAGATTTCTGAATAAAATGATAAAAAAACAGGGAAAGTACTGGAGTAGTTGTATAATGATGAGTAAATAGAATGATCAAACTTTTTAGCCTTAGAAAACGATTTTATCATTTCTTGTAAAACAAATTAGACATTTTCATTTTGCAGAACACAATTATTATTTTCTGAGCATTTACTAAGCAAGTTACAAGCATTATTTTATATTTTCAAACATGAAATTGCATCTTTTGCCTCTTAATATTACTTTGAAATAGCTAAAACTCTTCGCAACATTGGAAGTAATGTATTGAACCATTATCTTGTGGGATTAAGCACTAGAGCTACTTCTCATCCAAAATTGCTGTAAATGTTAATAATAATTTAAAATTAAAGAACATAATTTAGAATAATTTCAGAACAATATAACATGAAGCATATTGCAAAATACATGTGCTATGATTGTGAGTATTTTTTGCATGGAATGATATGTTTTATACCAGAAAATATGGATTTGCAAATATGTTTCAGATCATTTCAAAAACCTTGATTGTAAACATTAAACAAAAGGTAACTAATGAACTAACAAATATGTATTTTACAAATTCAAGCCCTTATAATAACACATATTTTTATTTTACTACTGGTACTTCTTTAAGGTCACTGAAATCTATTTCTCCTTTTCACATGATTTTTAATTGAGGAAATTATTAATATAACATTCAAAGCCATACGACCCACTCTGGCTATCGATAAACATACATGTATTGTAATCAAAAATATATCTTACTATAGAATACTAGCAACGTACCTGGCATTGCTAGGGTTTTCTTCATATCTGATCCTTATGAAGGAGGAAAACAAAAAAAAAATTTCTATAAAGATTTACGATTATTATTTTTAATGTAATTGGTTCAAATTGTAATAAAATACTATCATTTTCTTTTATTTTATATTACAGTCCATTGATTTTAGATTAAAAATCTTTATCATATGCACTGCTACAGGCTTATGGCAGAATATATTAGGAACCAATCTAATCTTAGTGACAGGTAAAAAGTAATAATTGTAGTACATGTAACAACTTTATATATATATAATATAAATTGTCTATCATAGTACGGGTTGCTCTTAGCAGCGTCGCCGTTTCCCGCTCGGTCAGTCTATGCCCTCTCTATTGGACGTATAGATCAATCATGGCATTTCTCTTGCCCGTCATAGCTTTGCACTCCTGCTGACCATGCACAGTCTTGGTCTTCCTCTCTTCTGCTTTTCTGTGGCACCACCATTTCGAGGACTCCGTTTTGGCGTCCTCTTTCGGTCTGTCATTCGCATAACATCGACCGCTACAGACGATTTCTTTTTCCTCTATTTCGTCAAGGATATAGACTTTCTGACCGCCAATCTTTATTTCTTGATGTCGTCGTCTTCCTGACTTCTGTCACGTCTGGCTTATAACACAGCTTCTATACGAAACCAGTAGTCGCTTTCAAGAGGCCCAGCAAGCTTCGCCTTTTTGTTCTTTATCGATCTCCTCCAGACTTCTGAACCGTTGTTTGTTAAACACATCTTAACTAGGCGAGTGAGTAAAGACGTCTTTTAGTAGTGGGTTAGTGATGGTTTTGTTTCCAATAAGACAGAGTTTTATACTTCGTGTCACGTAGTTCTCCCCAAGCTTATTCGTCCTCCAATTTCATATGGCTATTTCCCTTATTGTTAAAAAGTACACCATGGGAGGACTAGGTATTTATATTTGTTTACCCACTTTCATTTTCCTCCCTTTCTTACAAGAAGACCTACTATTTCATATTTTACGAACTGCCAGTATTCAGATTTGTCCATATTTAAATTTGTCCTGCTTTTAAAAAGTGTTCATTGAGTTTACGGATCAAATAATTTATTATTCTGCCATCTTCCTGCAATTACTACCTGGTCATGCGGCAAAAATTATAACGTAACAATTTATTATGCCTCTCCGCATCGTCCATTCCAATTACTTCTGGCATTGTTTCTCCACTGCTGATAAAATTTGATGCAGATATTTTTAAGATCCGTGTTGAGAAAGATAGCAAACACTGCCGCAGACGCTTTGCTGACTGGGAATGGAATCCAAGAGCCTGCTGATAAGCATCTTATCTGAGAGGTGTTAATTCTTATACTAGATTCTGTGTGGCTCCAATGTTAAGTTTTCACTTCATTTGAAGTCCATCCATTTGCTTCCTTTTTTTCCCATACTGCTTTTTAGCAACCGGTACATTGTCATATAGCGCTTCTGAAGAATCAATGAAACGCAGATGAAACTTTCCCTACCTCTCCTTGTCTCTCTTTTCTAGAAGTTGTTTTAATGTAAATATATTTGTCTATGTGACCCGGACCTGCCAGCAGTAAAACCACATTGTATCCTTGTCCTATTTTTTGCCTTTTTCTCTTCTTCTATTTTTATTAACGTATTATTTTGCTATAACAGTCCACTATAGATCCAATAAACTGCTCATTCCTCTGTATTTGTTTCATTGGTCTCTAGGTCGTGTTCTTAAATGGTATTGTGGTTAGGGTAAGACGCTTCGCCCACTCCTGGGCGGTTTTGCTCCTTCATTGCCACCTTGAAAACACCTGTGTTTGACCGCATTTGGTGCGTTTCTACAGGGACCACTACTTGTCAAGTAAACTCCCTCCGCGTTATCTCCCGCACCGGTCCTTAATTGGACTTTCCTTGTTTTAACGGAGCTTTTCTTCCTAATCTTTTTGTCACGCTACCTTTGCTTCAATTTACTTCCTTGTGTGTTTGACAGCTTTACTGTTTTCTTAGCCAGTCGCTTTCGAACCTACTCTTTTCACATTTATCTGGTGTTCGCAAACTGTTTGTAACTGCGCTACTTGTTTTTTCTCCTCGACTTTAACTTAGACTTCTATTCTTTCCAGGCTTCTGACGGCTCCGTGCTCCACCTATGACATTGTTCTACTATACATCGGCAATTTATCAGCCATAATTTTCTTCTTCCTAGAGATAATACTTCGTTGTTTTACCTTCTCTATCCTTATTGGCTTTTGTAACTGTTAAACTTAAGTTTCGGTTCTTTTGGTCACTACAGCATTTTTCTAATAGCTTTCTCTTTTGTCTCTTAATCTTTTCTTCTACGCTTGTGTCCCCACCAAATATGTTTGGTTTTAATTTACAAACCGTACAGTAAAGCCTCCTCTGGGCTTGGTGAACTCACGCTGCTTTTATTGTTCATATTTCTTTTTCTAAATTGGCCTGAGTGTTATACCCATACTTCGTTAGTTTCGCCCTTGTTTTCTGTAAGACGATATGCTGTATTTTCCAGTGACAAAGAACTGCTTATATTTGTATTTGGTACGTTTCTCTGACAAAATCCTCTTAATTTCTATATCGTGCTAATTCAGTGTAAAATGGTATTGACAATATTTTTAGCAAAATTACCAAAACAATGGTCGGCTAACATTGGCTCCCGCGTTTCACTCTAACAGTCTTGGACTTTGAAGTGAAGTTTTTTTGCTTAGTTAACAGAGTTCTAATTATAGGAATTTTAGTTTTTTTGTATGTTGGTACCAGGTTACTTAGTAATATACTTATGTTGTGAAGAAGGTTATTAAATTTTCATTTCATACTCTCTAAAACTATTAATAAAGTCTTTTCATTGTCATTGAAGTTTCTCACCAATAGCTGATCTCCACAATTGTTCTTAGTGTCTTCCAATTCTGCCGTTAAAATCTCCTGCAAATATATTATTTCATGGACTTTGGAATTCCGTCAAGAGTTTCTTTGACTGTCAATTCAAAAATCATCTTTCTTAGCATTGGGGCCATGCATATCTCAATAATATATTCTAATACTTCTATGTCATTTGTTCTTTCCTCTACCTGACTTTTCCTCTTTATAACACTACTTTAAATAGACGTCGTTTTATATACTCCCACTTTTTATAATTTACCGATCTTTCTCCAATAACATAAAAAATTTCGGCTTATAGGATTTTCATGTTTGTTTACAGCACTGTAAATAGTGCACAAAGTTGTTCAAGCTGTCCATCGCTTCCACCTTGCGTTTCCTTTTTTGATTGCAGACCAAGACGGCTATTTCTATGTTTCTTCTCTACTTTCCTGGATTACTTCTTGTTGTTTAATTTGATATACTTTGTACTTCTTATACCAGTATTCAGAGTCTTTTGTCTTTGTTGATGGTGTTTTCTTTTGAAATAATCCGAGGCTATTCTTAACTAGAGATTTTAGCGGGTATGATGTTTTAACCGTGGGCAGAGGTGCTGGCACACGCACAAACCCCAAAACTGGAGGACCGGAGCTTTATTTCAGGGGTTTCCCATCCCTTAGGCTGAATTGCTCCACCATAGTTTAAGAGAGTTAGCTACCCCTGATCCACCTCTTTAGGGATGAATTAACTTCCAAAGGTTAGTGAATCCACCTCTCCTGTGGAGTCTGACACCATGTCATACTTGGATGCTTCTGGGGTGCTACCGCATATACCACTGTCTACTACACTCCTAAGAAATAAGGAAGGAAGATGAGGAAAGACTCCTAGCCTTGAAAACTAATAGCGTCGGGGTCAGGAAAAAAAAAGAGTTGACAAGGGAGGCGATAGAATATGATGAAAGCATTGTGGTAGCAAGAAGTTTAAAGATGTACAATGGTAGATTACAGGAACCATAACGATATGAAAATACGTTATGGAAGGACAAAAAGATAGGAAAGAATGTACGATTGAAAGATTGGGATAGCATAAGGACAGTATGGTACGGGACACGACTTAGTCTGGCCCCTCAGTTTTGGCCTGTCCGGGATGGGTGACCCTACCAGTAGTCATGCGTAGAAAATAGTCATACTACCGCCGGCTTAGCCCTCCACCTCACCGAAGCACACTTTATATTTAAATTATTTATTTTCTGAATTTGTATTGTATTAATCTTTATCAAACCTTACAAGGACACTGCGCACAATCCTGAAGAGAAAATAAGGAGGAGCCTGTAAAAATCTATCTACTCATAGACTTCTTTTTAACGAATTTATGTCCATTACATATTTTGAATTCACTTTTATTGACAAAGTTGACATCAAATCAAATATCAAATTTTTTAAAGAATGTGACACTGCTTAACTTATCTGCATTTTAATTGTTTTTTTAAGGCTTATGTCTGAATTTAATCATGATAATCATGATTGGACTAGTATTAACAAAGTCAAAATATTTGTGTAAAACAATTATTTCAATTATTTCATCTGATTTGCCCATTTTCCCTTCCAAAAACAGGGTATAATTTGAAACATCATAACTCATGAACCATTAAATATTTTTTATGATTGTTTTAAGATTGTTACTTGACTTGTACTTTAGAGCCTAAACCTAAATTTGAAGATTCATAAGGGACTTTTATATATATTGCAAGGATTAGAATTATAACTTTTGAAAATCACTCGTAACACAGTAATTTATTTTATGATCTGCATTTTCTATAATAATTTCAGGTTTAAACCCAAAAATTGACTGTCTGCTGCTAAATAAAAAATGAATCATAAAGATATCTAAAATTAGAAGAGTTATGATGTTTCTAGTCAGGCCAAACAAGAGAACAAGTAATTTGGCAAGAGAAAAGCCAGATAAAGATTTGTTAGCTCCAAAGTGATAGTCTGAAAATATTAGTTACAAACTACAAGAAAGAATTTGTCCAAAAGCTTATTTTGCTTTTGATGTGAAGACATAAGAACTTAACATTGGTTTAAATTGCGTTTTTAAAATTTCACACATTTTTTTCTTTCTTTCTTTTTTTGCAACAAAAAACTTAAATTAAAAAATCTAATTTTTCACAGAAAAACCCTATTTTGAGGTACATGAGGACCTTAAAGAGATTCACCAGACTGATTACTTCATTGATCTACAAAAATAAAATGTCAAACGAGCAGAGAAGAATTTCTGAGAAATAGAAATTTGAAAGAACAAATGAATCATTTAATGCCGCTTAAGGAAAAGTTTTGAATGTTATTACAAAGCCCTAAATAAGTGAATATGAAAGATGTTAAGAGATTGGAATTATTTTTTGAAGGAAAGACTTTCCTGTAATAGACTACACAAGACATTCAAGACACACTATCACACAATTTTTGTAGAATCAGAGCAAGAATTTCAACTCATGATATACAATGTTGTGAGAATGGGGGAAGAATTAAGGATGAATGTAAATATGAAATATTAAATAGTGAAATATTAAAATAATAAAATTAAATGTAGGAAAACCAAAGTAATAAGAATCAGTAAGTCTGAAAACGTAAGCACATGGAAGGAGAGAATGGAAATGAAGTCAAGTTGTATGTGCATGGTGTGGCTGTTAAACCAGAATTGAAGTTGTACACAAGAAAGAGGAACTAGGACAGCAATGGAAAAGAAAGCCTTAAAAAATTCAATGTGTTGTTCACAGAGAAAAGTATTCAGAAAAATACAAGAAAGATATTTGCCAAATGTCAGAAGTCAGTAAGAAAAAAGTAAGAAGAGAAATTCATACAAAGTTTAGAAATGTGGTAATAAAAGATAAGTAGCAATGAGAAAAATACGAAAAGAAAGGCCACTGATACATTTCATAAAGAACAGAAAAGGCAATTTGAGTTGGCTATATTTTGCACTGAAATTGCTTAAAAAAAACATTAGTAGATGGTAAAAGAGGAAGAGGGAGGAAAAAGATCAGAATGCTTTACGATGTGAGAAATGGATATAACTATAAGCAGTTGAAAGCAGCCCAGAATGGAAGAATATAGAGAAGGTACAGTAAAAACAGACAACTTATCAACAAAGCAGAAGAAAAGGAGGAAGAGGAAGAAGAAGAAAAGCAGGAGGACTATAACTTCATTAAAAAAAAGAGATGAGACATTTGATGATACCTTTCTTACCATTACTGAAAATTTAAATATAATTTAAAGAAAAACACAAGGAAAATAAAGATTGGCATAGCATGTTCTGGTTTATTGATCATCTCAAAAAACTGTCATGGATAAAAACAACCACTTTCTTAAAGTTCTCAAACAAAATTGAACATCTATGTGGCTTTAAAATGAATGCACAAGATCTATTAAAACCTTTGGCTCATACTTCACTATCCCAATATATTTTTGATCCCATTCCACTCCACATACCTCATTCATAACCTCCATAACTGTTTTCTTAGCAAGATATTAGCTCTAGGTAGCCCATGCTTTTATCTGGGATTTTTCAACAAAACACAAAAATTCTTCATTTTGCTTTCATTTTCCCATATGCATAAAACTTTTCCTAATGGCTCTGGTGACTGACTAGACATATTATCTGCTAATGACATACTTTGGACATCTAGTGCCAATATTTTTTTAACAAAAAAAATATAGTATTCAAGTGTAAGTATGCCAGGTTCTGTTTTAAAATAGGTCTTTCTACAAAACATTTGGCTTTTCCTACTGCAGTAGTATGAAGCCTTCTTGCACTTCAAACCACCATAAAGACTTGAAATGACAAAATAAGTCAAATATAGAAATAAGGTTTAGATATACAAACATGCTTTTTTAGCGATATAGAATGCAAGGCAAAAATTAACTGAACCTATAAGCCTCAAAATTTGTAAATATTTTTGACACTGGATGCAGTACGAGAATTCTGTAAATAATAGTTAATAAGTAGACAACCAAAATAAATTAAAATAAATATTCTGAAAAAGACTTACTGCTTGGCACTGCAATAGTAAGCAGTAAGGAAATTCCTCCAAGAAGCATACAACCACATAAAATGGTTTTGCGGCCCCAACGATTTAATGTAAGTAGCAGAAAACTGTAAGCTGGTATTTCCACAGCCCCAGAGATGAAAAAATTTATGTAATCATTTCCACCTAAATTTGAAGTATTCCAAGAAAGACCATAATATGTACCACTGTTGACAAACCTAAAAGGCAAAATTTTACATTTGTGGATGTGAAAAGTTCTTCATTAAAAACAATATAATAAAGGTTACCTCACATCTCATTATTTACACATATTTGTGTTCAAAGTTAAAAATATTATATTCATTTTAATTCTGCTATTTTACTCATTTTTCAATTTTTGAATAAACCCCATTGAAAAGATGAACCCTATTTCTAGCAGGTTTTTCATCCAGTTTCCCTTGACATACATGCATGTACACAGAGGTACCATAGTCCCCTACAACTTGTAAAAGAGCTCCAAAGCTTTGGTACAGAGCCAATAAATATTTAAAAAATAATTCAGTAATATTAACAAATGGATTGACACATTAGTCTATTGGTATTTTGTCACCAGATCTGTATTTTTGAGAAATTTATATTGCCTTCATGGCTATGGGATTGAAAATTTGAAAAATTTAGAATTTTTCTTAGTCATAAATGTCAACATTTGTGCTAACTCTTTGAGTTGCTATTTTTCAATAATTAAAATTAATTTTTTATATTTAATTATCATGTCTTTCATTTTTTGCAAAACACATTATATTTGGCCTTTGCAAAAAATTCCAAAATATTTCATTGTAAATTTACTTTCTATTTTTGATAGTTTAAATTTTACTTCTGAAATAGTGTTACTAGAAATAATATTTCCAAATTCATAATTTGCAAGTACAGAGAAACAAATTAATGTCAGTTTCCCAAAAAATAACAGACTTGTTACATCGAGCATGCTTTTACATGTAATTTTAAAAGTGTTATGAAATGATATTGAAGGGTGGAATGAAATAAGTGAAAAATTTTCAAATTTTCCAATCATTATGAAAAACTGGAAATTGTACATTGTGTACCTCCACTATAACAAATTGAAGGTCAAATATAATGGAATTTTTTCATCTACCCATAAAAGCTGGTCAAGTTATCATTGATGCACTCTCTCTACCTCTCCTTGAAACTTCTTAAAATGCTTCAAAAATACAAAATATGCAATAAGCAGCTAAAAATTACAGAAAATGACAGAAACTATTTCAAAATATGCCATTATTGGTCTCTCCCACAAGTGCTCAAAAATACAATTTAAAAATAGACTGGAAACTATAGTATAAGTAAAATTTTGTATGTAAATAAATATATTTTTTCATTTAGCTAACTAAATTTGCTTATTAATTCCATGAAAAATCATTGTTTATCTCTATGTTAATAGCATGCGTGCAATTACAATTCAACTGTGAAATTAAAACTATACATCTGCCAATCAGAATGCAAAAAAGAAGACAAATTGTTTAATTAAGAAACTGTAACACAGATGTAGCCAAGGTATTTACAGTTGTCCACAAAACATGAACAAAAATGTCCATCACAGACCACGTACTTACAACAACTACAAACAATTAATGAATGAATAAAACTAAATTAGGAAAGTAAATGTTAAGCTACCTAACTTATGGAACAACATTAGATATTTAATGTGAATAAATTAAATGTTTTACATTTAAAACATTCGGTATTAGGATTACAAGTGTAAAAAATGTAAGCATCAGTTTTGTTTACCAGTTCTAAAAAGTATACTATAGCAAAAATGTGGCACACATGACTAGTTTTTCCCCCCACTATTTATACATATTTTATTCTCTGTCAAACCTGTATTCATCCAGTCATAATTGGAGGAAACATTAATATTATATATCATATTATTTTAATGGTTGTTTTGTTATGAAATTCAATTCCCTCTTTCTTAAAACATTTTACTATATTTACTATTATACCTTATACATTTTATTAATTGCATAGAAATGCAAGCAAACTTTATTGTAATTAGAACATGAAAACTTGCCAGCTCTTATGGACATTTTATATAGTACTAATTTCTTTAATCACTTATGTTCCTGTTCAGTTTAAAAAGAGAAATGATATGTTTCCCTTTAAAAATTATACATTCACATTTCATTGTTCCATTGAGCATGGTAAATCACTTGCAATGAATAAAAATGCATGATAAATTTTAGAATTTGCTTGTATTAATCAAGAACTTACTCCCTTTCATACCTACCAGTTAAAGAATATAAGCATAGACTTGCGTCGCAGATTTCTATGACGCATAAGATCTAGTAACGATGGTTTTGGTGTTGAGTCTTCTTCATTTGCAGTTGCAACTTCAGATTCCAATAGCTCATCTAGCAAATCATCAGTAATGGTTACATTATTTTCTTTTGCTACACGTTGGAGTAATTCTTTTGCCTCTTCCTTGTGTCCCTTTGTGAGAAGCCAACGAGCTGACTCTGGGATAAACCTTCAAAAATATTTTATGAATTTGGAATAAATGATTTCTTTATAGTTCACTTAGTTTAAAATAGATATCAATACATCATTTAGGGATAACAGTAAAACATACTATGTGGTTTCTATTTGTGGTATTGTATATCCTAAGATATACAGAAATGAAGAGAAAACATCATCTTATTGCTTTTCTCACACTCAAACTCACAGAAAAATCAGAGCAATGATTCAATTTCCAAAATTGGTCTCAATCTCTTCAACAAAGTCTCTGGTACAAAAATAATTGTAACACAATTATTTACTTTTGTGTCAACCATAATATAATTTGACTGATTTGCTCACATTTTGAAGATTTTGCAAAGCTAGATTCTGCATACAAATGAGTCATTGCAGATACAATAAATGAACTTAACACAAAAAGCAATGTAGCAATTTTTTGCATCAGTATATCTCTATTTTTGTAATAATGTCAAACACTCATTCAAAGAAAACAAAAATAATAGAAAAAGAGGAAACAAAACAAAAGGGAAAAATTAGGGAAAACTTTTTTAGTCTGATAAAAGTATAACTTGTTATTATTTTTTATTGGTTTGGCAGTTAAGTCTTAAATAGAAATTAGTAAACACAGCCACACTCAAAGTAAATCCCCTCCCATGAGAAAATTAATGGTAAAGGTTTATTAACCAGTTTTTAAGATATTGATGTTTTTAAACATCAACATTGATGCCTTTCTCATTGAGTAGCCCCATGAAAGTGAAATAGAATTGTGATGTTACTTTTTGTTTTATATAAAATTTCACTTTACGACACATCTGTTCTTCAATTATGAAGAACAAATTTCAGTTGAAGAAGAATGAAGTTGTCCAAAGGAATCCAAATAATTTCAAATATATACAAGTAACATTTGTAAAAGGCGGTACGGTACAGTTAACAGTTAAAATTTGACCTACGCCTCTTTAGAAAAGTACTTCACTCTATTTTTTTTTACTTCCCCATATACGTACGTATATATGGAGTAATATAGTACATAGCGTAGAAGAAGTTATGTAACGCTACGGAAAATAGATTTCGAGTTTTCAACGGAAATATTTGTTTTCAGTTCCCCTGATGGTACTGAAACAAGCATTGTTTTATTCCCCCCCCCCTTTTTTTCAAAAAATTTCTCCCGGCGTCTGCTTGCCTGTCCGTGTGAACAACTTCAGCGTCTAAACTATTCATAGGACTTTTTCCAAAATGGATATACCTCGGTAGATCTGGCTCGATCTGAAACTGCGATTCCGAAAACCATTCTTGATTGAGAGTGAATTAAAAGTGACGAAAACACGTAAACTGAGAGTGACTGACAAGAATAAAAAAATTAACAAGTAAAAATAACAAAATTATAGAAAGGGATGTCTGCTTTGAACAATATTTGTTCTTTAAAATCACCTCTTTAAAAAAAAGTCACGTATCATTTTTTGAAAAACAAATAGTTGCGTAATTTGTGCTTGAAATGTATGCAATTTATAAAAAAATGTCATTTCTTCAAAAACCATTATGGTTTAATGTCTCCAATAATGCGAGAAAGTATGTGATGTTGTAACTTTAAAAACACGTTGCTTCCTGCATTGGTTATTGTCATAAGAATGCAAGCTGTTGAAATGTTTTTGTAGTTAGTATAACGCCTGAAAGTGAATGTTATTACTATAAGAGATAAACAAACAGATCACTAATATGGCGGCAAACTTGAAAAATGATATATTTGTGGTTTGATGGCTTCTATTTTTACAGATACACAAACTCAGTTACACTTTCATTTTAATTACTAATGTAATTTAAATACAGATAAACGAAAAGACAACAATATAGAAATAAAATCAGATACAAACAACACATCGATTCAGTCTAACTGTTCAACACGCCACCATCGGGCACCTCTCATGTTTTGACTACAGAAATCACGGCGGCCCCTAGTTCGGCGAACGTCCACAAAGAGCTCTGAAACCTAAGGGCCAGCCACTCTATGTAGTTTATTCTAGCTCGTTGATTTTAACACAGCAAGTTAGAAAAAAAAGGTTAAAAAAAGTTGAGATCACGTTCACGAGATCAAAGAAAAAAATTATCGCGCTATGCTTGTCCTAAAAGTAACTGCTTTTACCAGTGGCTGTCTAAAAATAACTTATCCTTGTAAACCTATATTAGTAACAAAAATATTTATTCACAATGAAAACAGCATTTTTTTAATAGATACATACCACCAATAACAAAGAAATAAAATTCCTGGCAGCGATAGTGCAATTTGTAGGTAGCGCCAGTCTTTGATGAAGTATGCAAACGCTGCTGTAAGGATGTAACCAGTAGTGAAAAAGAACTGGCATACAACACCTGCCACAAGCCGTTTGCTAGGACCCACCATTTCCATAGCTGCAAAATAAACAATTATATTAGATTCAATATAAATTGGTTGTCTGGAAATTAATTAATGAAATTGAAAATTTAAGTAGTAGTAGTAATAGTAGTAGACGTAGCAGTAGTAGTAGTAGTAGTAGTAGTAGTAGTAGTAGTAGTAGTATAGTAGTAGTATAGTAGTAGTATAGTAGTAGTATAGTAGTATAGAAGTAGTATAGAAGTAGTATAGAAGTAGTATAGAAGTAGTATAGAAGTAGTATAGAAGTAGTATAGTAGTAGTATAGTAGTAGTTGTAGTAGTAGCACGTAGTAGTAGCAATAGCAGCATTGGCAGCAGTAGAAGCAGGAACAGTAACAAACTAAGTCGTATTGGGGGCATTCCATGCTAAAGAGAGCATTTTTGTACAAAATATAAACTCACAATTTTTAATTTTCTTGGCTTAAAAAAGTTCTACATAGAGAATAATGAGACAAGTGTTTTTCCAGTCATCATTAATGGAAACGAGTTTGCATCCACATTGTATTGATTGGTAAATGTTACTTTGCGGAAAGGCTATGGGAAAATAGACGCCATAAAGTAGTTAATTTTGGGTAAAACAGCGCAATGACACGAGTGTTCTTTTACAGTAATTCATCTGTTCCCGACACGTCGGCAGAGTACTGGACAGCGAAAAGAGCAATCCAAACATTAAGGGAGAAAGTAGTCCAGCCCGGCGAAACTCCAATAAAAATCTTAATTTTAAAGAAAAAAGTGTCCTCTTTAAATGAAAGACGAAGATGCAGAAAGATTTAGAGAAAAGAGTAAGTAATGAAATTACCTGAAAGACATGAGAGTGGTATTGTAAGTAGTAATTGGATAGAAAATCTGAGAAAAGTGTTCTGAGCAAGGCAGAAATGTACAAAAACTTCTTAAATTATTTGAAGACTAGTCTAATAGCCAAATTTATGTACTCTCTGACGTGTCATTTCGCGTGATAACATCGCGTGATCTAAACAAATAGAAATACACAAGCGATTTTTCTCAATATCGGATGTGAAAAGAGGAAGGTATTAGGATGTGGCAAGTACAGAAATTTTATGAATCTCGTGTAATAAGAAGCATATTGCTATAATGCTAATAGTAATAAAATAAAATGCGTAATGCGTATACATTACGTAATGCACGTAATGTAATATAATGAAGTAAGGGATGATGATTGAGAGATTGTAAAGGAGAAACTTCAGATAAGTGGCACTTCTGAGCCACGCAACGTCTGTGTTGTTAGCAACTACAAATATTGTCCGCAACGTTTTCACACTGCCATTGAAGTGGAACGTGAATTAACTAGAGCAAGCAGCTCTCCCCTGTTTCAGCAATTGTGTTGGCACACTAACCTTGGGTTCTTCAGATTTAAGAATGTTTCTTTTCCTTGGGTTCTGTCCTACATACGCATTAATTTTATAAATACTTTTATATTTATGAAGAGCCTATACAAAGGATTTTTAATGATTGTTCTGAAACGCTATAGAAGAAACAATTTTTTATATAAGTTACTTTCTTCTACCTTCGGTTTAACGGCATGCATGGCATGTATACGTGTGCATGCTCAAGTCCGCACGCGCGCGCACAAACACATGTACAAAGTCATTTCGGGTGTAAAGAAAACACATCTTGGTGTACTTCTTATTATTACAAATTCCTCTAAAGTTTTGTTATCAGACTCTCGGAGAAAGAGTTTTGTGTGATTTGCGAATGCAGTTGCAGGAACTTCACTTGAAAAAATCTCAACTTTTTTGAGACACAAACCGCTGCTGTTACTCTGGAGGTCATTTGGGAACCCCGAAACGAAGGAACGCTTTGCAATTCCTAAGGCTCGGTCGCAGAGGCATTGACTAAACTTTAACGAACTAGAAACAAGGCTGTCGTCATTTGCTTCCCTAGTTTTCCTTCGTTTGTAACTCATCAAAGTGGAATTTATCTCCAGTCCTTTGCCGAAAAAGAGAAGCTTCTGAATGTTTGTTACGAAAGAACAAACTTCAAGCTACAAAACGACTCTCTGACATAAACATTTGTTTATCTATGGTTCATTTCATTATACAAAACATGTTGGTGTTTTCTACATCCGAAATGACTATATACAGCAGTAAACAAAAACATTTTTAGTGAGTATTTTTGAACTAACCAATAACGTAGGCAACCAGGAAAACGCCAGATGTGGTTGCGCCGATGAGCATTCGAGCCAACATAAATCCAATTTTTTCAGGCATAACGGCGGCTCCCAGGCCACCGATTACCTGAAGTACTAGCGATATGAAAAAGATTGGTCGACGTCCGAATCTACAACATATCAGGCAAAAGAGTGGTAACATTTCTAACCATCTAAATTATTTTCTTGCTTGAATACAGAAGAATATTTGTGACATGAATAAAGAATATTAGCACTGAAACACACAAAATGTTTTATTAGAGCTATACCGATTACTGATAATACGGTGTGAAATCACGAGTAAGAGAAAAGAATAATTAGGAAAGGGCAGGTACGAGCATTAGTCACCTCCACAAAATTGAAAAGTTACAAAATATTGAGTAAATATTAATGATTCAATAAACAATAAAACAAACATAAAAGATTGAATAAACCATTTCAAATAACAAATTATTTCAACATACATTATAATCGCACATAACTCTAAAACAATGCATCCTAGCCCTATAAAAACCAGATTTTTTTGTTTTCAAAGGGACACGAATTATAGAAAAAAGGTGGGGGACGGGTGGGGAAATGATGAGTAACATATGGGGAAATGAAGGGACAGGCGAGACAGGTATTATGTCTTACGCAGTTTTTTACAAACAGACTATTTTGAAGGCGCGCGAGAACGTACGCACACACATACATACAATAAAATCTTTCAAATTTTATCATGGCAGATTACTTCAATCTTTTTCCATCAAATTATCCAAAAATGTCATAGAATGCCCCATTTTGTAAAATACTTCATAAGAATTCCTGCCCGCCTGACCCTTTATTTTCACATGCGTCCCTCATCATTTCCCCACCCGTTCCCCACATTTCGCCCAAAAATTCGTGTCCCTTTGAGGACGAGAAAAACTTGTTTCATCCCTAGGACGCATTGTTTTCGAGTTTTGCGCGATGGCTGCGTATGATGAAATCATTTTATTTGTATGCCGTAATAAGAAAACTTCAATTTTGTCGTTTTAAATCTGTTTGAAGCAGGACTGGGGAGTAGTTGACTACCCAGGAGTAGCAAAATTTTAGGTTTCTGTTTAGATGATTTGTTATAAATTGTCAAGGGCCGTCATCTAGCCTTAACTACACAGCTGGACTGGTGCGAACATTTTACAATTTGTAAATAGTTGTTTTAAAAGTGAAAAGATCTTCGTACTGGATTCCAGCTTCGAACGGCTAGCCCCTGAAATATAAGTTAAAGCATTACAGGCCCGACATGACATGCGGGCCTGTAATCGCATCAATTTAATATTACATAGATATCTGCTCGCTAGAGCTAGCTCTCCAGGAATGTAAAAGAAGGTTCAAAAGGGTCTCATTTTCTAGAACACTGCTTGAAGGAACAAAACTCGGGTTTCACTGGGCCCTCACAGCTTTTCCTGCATGCTCCCTTATATATTCCCCGCAGGTTCTAGGAATGTTGCTCAACATGCTCCCCGCAAGTTCGTTGCAAGTTCCCCAGCATTCTCCCACTAAAAGTATACGTGTATGGTTTATAAGTGTGTATGATTTTGTGTGTTTATAAGTATAGCTGTTTGTGTCTAAATATAAAGCAATAGAAGGAGAAGCGCCTCGAACATTCAGACTGAAGTTTACGTTGTACAGTGTAAATAATGTAAATAGAGTTTGGTATTAGACCTCCTATTCTAATAATTAGATGTGTATATAATTAGAATAAGTGAGGATGGAAGAAAAAGTAGATTTAGATTATTTCTTAAGTATCTAGTTTGTAGGCTAGTCCGTAAGTGTTCAGTGTAAATAACATTTAACAACAAATATGAAAGTTGTTTCACAAAGGTTTCCCTACATGTCCTCCCAGATGCTTCCTGCACATGTTCCGCATGTATTCCAAATGTTTCCCTGTGTGTATCCTCACATCTTCATGGCAATTTCATTTTCGTAGAATTTTGGATTAGGCGGGACCTCCTATGTTCTCCATTTGCTCTCAGATATTCCCGTAAATGTTAATCTGGAAATTAAACTGAACTACAAAAATTAAATTTGAAGGTTTTTTTTAGGAAATAGTTTTATAAACGTTATGGCACCTAATAGTGTATACGTAGTACGTAGTAATAGTGTATACGTAATACGTAGTGTATTGCATTCTTGGCCAGATGAAACTGGCAGTTCTGAATAGCTGATTTCCCTAATGCGCCACAATTTACTCTCTCTTTTGTTTCTAGTCTTACTAAATGTTTTTTCACGCAGGGCCGAGGGCACTCCCATATCTGGAATAATACACTTACGGAGTTTTGTGTTGAATTGAACACATAGTAATAAATTTTAAAACAGGAGTTACAAATGTGATATATGCCCCTTACGTTTAGGCAACCCTGTATGCACATCTGTTCGGCAGATACATAAAACCCCCTGACCGTCAGAACGTGACCTTCAGAACACTTGTTCACAAGAAGTTGCCTAATAATCAAAGACAAATAGCACGAGTATAACCCCGTTTTACGAAATTTCCCACTATTGTCAAAAAAGTATCTTTTCGTGACGCAAAAAGTGACGATTCTCGTTTTATTGCATCGTTTCTTTGCTAACTTAAAATTGGATGAAATCTTGACTGCAATTTTGAATCATGAAACGAACGTTATTTTAGTACTTGTTTTATTTTGCACGAAATTGCACTTTCAGGGGGTTACTGCACGGAATTGCACGTTTTGGGGAACGCTACCTGAAAATTACACATTTTGAGTTTTTACTGGATGAATTTGCTAGATGCATAGTTTTATTACATAAAATTTAATTATTGTATTATCAACTTTTTAATTTACCTTTCTTAAATGTTTCAATAATAAAGTATGACTTAAGCAAGCAGTGCATTCGGGTGGTGTGTGATACCCGAGCGCCGTTTAATGTGATTCAATTTTCCTTTTTTTTTCTTTTCTTTTTTTTCCTCTCAAAAGAAATGAGCGTCTATATCTTTCATGATACTAATTGTCTACTTGAAATTTTTGAGGAATTGCAGTTTGGAGTGCGGATACACGGTATTCGCAAGAACACTGCCCGCAGCCCTTCGTTGCGGTCGCTCAACCAACGCTATGATCAGGGTGAGTCTTCCCAATCATCCAATGTATCCGTGTTGTCGCTCTTCGCTGAACTAAGCAACACGAGACTGCATGCGCGACTCACATTTGACCTCACGACCTGACGCGAAGCCGTGGCAAGATGCACTGCGTGTCAAATTCATCGAAATTCTCGAAACGGATGTTGTTCTGCAAGATACGAGAGAGAGAATGGACGCAGTTTTCGACTACTTTTATACTTCTGTTTTTATATTATGTGGTCTCGTAATAAGGCCTGTCTTCATTATGAAATATGTCACGACACTTAGCATCTTTCTCAGTCGTGCCGCTAGATGTCGCATGATCGCGACAGAATCAAGCAGTGCTTGTATTTACTTTTTTATGCTAAAATAATTTTCTGTGTGAATTTAAAATATAAAATAGGATTTGTTTAAATAACATGTACAAACTTTATATTATAATAAAAACTCTAAAATCATATTTTATTCACCTTGAATTCTAATCCAAAGTGTAAAATAAGTTTATAAGTTGATTAACTGGAGTTTATAAGCTACATAACATCATTTTGCCAAGTTTTGATATTTTTATTTCATGTTTTTGAAAGTTTTGGAGTTTTTACTGCACCTTTTACAGAGTTTTACTGCATGAAAATCCAGTATTTAGTTTTATATATGTGTATATATAACTCTCGAAGGAAAAGTGGAAGGATTATTCCCTTTGATAAGCACATTACTTTCGGATAGAGAATTACCCCCCCCCCAGTGATGCATCGAAGAGATTTAAGACGAAAAAAGATGTTCGCAGACTATGAAATAGTTGGTATGATGGGTTATCGCATGTATAGATGAAGAAGAACAAAAAAGCATATTAAATGTAAATATGGACGACCACAACAATTGGAGAGAGATGGGAATCGTAATTAATAACATTACAAAGGAATATCAACCCAAGTAATAACGGAGGAAGGAGAGAATAATTTAATAATGAAAATCATAAAATAAATGTGAGTAATTTCCATGGGTGTGGAAATAAGTGACAAGAAATATTACGAACAAGGAACCAAGGAATAAATAAATCCAATGTAAAATTGCGAAGGACCAATCAGAAATGAGGTCATGAGTGAGGTACCGAATGGTATGCGCAATAGGAGGGAAGAAGATACACGTTTGTGGACGCTCTCACGCAAGAAGAGACAGCTGATGGGTGCGCAAGATAAAGAACTCGGACAAACGGACGTTCGACGCGGAAGGGGTCGGAAGTAAAGGCCTCGAACTTTATGATTTCCCGGTCAGAAGAGCTGCAGTGACAGCAGATGATGCCCTGACCTCAAATATATAGCTTTACTAATTTTCTATTCTTATGAAAGTCATCCAATGTATCAATTGAACATTAAAAATATTATGTAAGTAAACAAATAAAAATACATTTTATATTCAGTATAAAAGAAATATCCTTTGTAAGAAAATATCAAGTCGGCTGGACACTATACCTGTAGCCTCCGTTTCCACCCACCCCGAGAAAAGTCTTAGGTACGCCTCTGCAATTAATTATTTTTAGTACTATTTTGTACACGTAAGGAGATGGCTCTGCGTTGTATAAAGTTCAAATAAATAACGTTTACCTAGGTTTATTCGTGTATGGCTTTTGAAATATTTTAAGGGAGTTGTTGAGTTAATGATACTTGAATGATGATGGTGATATAATAAATGACACTGAAAACTCAGTGATCTGTCGGCAACCCCCTTTGTTCATCTGAAATTTCAAGCCCACTGACCGTGATTTAAATCACAACCACAGAGGAAGGCGAGCACAGATGTACTACATGCTCCCTTTTTAAAAAGCGAAATTGAACCAGAAGACATACGGAACTTCTAATAATAATGTTATTATTATTATTATTATTATTATTATTATTATTATTGTTATTATTGTTATTATTATTATTTTGTCTTTATGACTGGTGAGGTTGACCAGACTTACTGCATAACCACTTGGATGAGTACACATTTATACAAATTTGAATCATTACGAGGGGAGGGCAAGCTTAAGATTTACGACTGGGAGTGCAAAATAGGTGACAATACCGGTTTACGCCTGAAGCGGTTGAGTAAACCCAGAAAAAATAAATCAGGATGGCGACTTAGGGCCGATCATTAACACTACGTAAATAGAAAATACACAGACGTGAATGAGAAGAGAAAATAAGTTCAAGAAAGGAATCACAAAAGAAGCGAGAGAGAATCACAAAGAAGGGAGAAGAGAGAAAGAAAAAGAAAGGGAAGAAGATAAAAGCAGAAAATACAATTATTACAGTGTCGATACATAACCACGTACTACTTTTGAAACGCATTAGAATTTTACGTAATATAATAATAACTTTAATAATGAACATCTAAACATAAAAGTGAGTACAATATTTTACATGTAAATTACAATATTGAAATTATCAATGGAACAATAAACATAGACAAATAAATTGAAAGCGATTATATTCAAGGGTGCAGCTAATATCAGTGATTTGATGACAATGGCAATTATTGTTGTAAAAATATACTAGAATAGTAAACCTGATACAGGTATCAAGATAGTATTTCACAAGTTCATCAAATTTATCTGGAATAACACTGTACCTTTCCTATAGTTCCACTCTTACTTCAGACCATTGAGTGATTTACGTATTGTTAGTAGAGTTACTAGGTATCTGACTCAGGAAAAAATGGAAGTTTTTTTCTAACAGTTCCATATGTTTTGGGGGTTCTTAATTCGAATTTAATGTTTGCTACCTCGAAAAAGGTAGCGTGAATAAAGGTAGAGTGAATAAAGGGGAGCGTAAATTACCGCGGAAGGCCCTGTTAGGCGCCGAATAGGACAGGAAGGAGTAGGGGTAGGAAGATGTACGTCAAATCGAAAAGGTTGATCAGATTTAAAAGGAAGAGGATCTAACAAATTCGAGGAAGTCAAGTTTCATTTCGTATAACTTCAAGTTTTGTTTAGCGAACAAGGTGTTATGATCTACCGAATCAAATGCTTAGCCGATATCCAGAATTATCAGGACAGTTCTTTTGCCATAATCATTTTAGACCAGTCACCTAGTGCTCAAAGAGACTCCATCCAGGAAAAAAAATGGACGTTTTTATTTCAATGGTCCAGAGTGTTCTTGGAGATGCTAGATTCGAATTGTGTTTGCCATTTGGAGAAAGACACGGATCATAGTACAAACAAAAACAAAAATGTGCTTTTTTTCAGTTTATCGCTTTCATCTCCACAAGTGTGCATTTTATCGAAATACCTACATCGTCTGTTCAAAAAATACGCAAACTATTTAAATTGCGCGTCTCCAGTTGATTCCAGAGGAATCTTGATGTCGTTAGGTTTGCTCAGATCTACTGATTATAACGCCATTTTACGATTGGTTATATCTGCATTTGTTTATTAGCTACGTGGATTTTAGAGAAGTGCGATTTTTTCGTTTGGCGGATTTCAAAATGAATGAACGACTTGCTGTGAAATTTTATGTTAACCTAGGAAACTTAAAAAAAAAAATATTCTTGCTTGGCCTGTCTCCCTTAGCAGCAGTCAGTGAACCAAAATTACTATATTGAAGTTCTGAAACGTCTGAGGGACGCCATCTACTGGAGAAGGCCAGAAATGTGGAGGAGAGGCGACTGTTTTTTTTCTATCATGGTAATGCTCCAGCCCTATCAGCCCTCAGAACTGATGAGTTTTTGGCGGAACACACAATCACTGTTCTTCCTCACCCTCCCTACTCACCTGACCTTGCTCCTGGTGACTTTTTCTTGTTACCCAAACTCAAAAGATCCTTGCAAGGAAAAAGATTTGAGACGATTCCCGAGATTATGGCAAATGCGATGAAGGAGCTGAGGGACATTACAAAAGAAACATATCAGAAATGTACAACAAGTGGAAACACCGTTGGGATAAGTGTGTGCGTTGGGGAGGAGGGTAATTTGAAGGCAATCCAAACTTCTAACTTGTACGTAAAATAGATTTTATTTTATGACTTCAGCCCGCTTATTTTTTTAACAGCCCTCGTACTATTTACAAAATTAAAGATCACAATATTTCCTACAAAATACATATTTTAACTTTAATTTTCTAAAAAGTAATTTAGCGTTAGAGAGCGCTAAAAACGGTAACTTTTCGGCCATTGGACAAAACGGGAGAATGGCTTTTTCCCTCCCTCCCCCTTTCTCTTTCTCACCCCCCCCTTCCTCTCTCTTGCGCTCGGTCTCTATCTCGCTCTGGTCTCTTATCTCGCGGCGGTGCTGTAATTTTACTGTATCATGCTTGAAAGCAATTAGTGTGAACTAATTATTGATAATGTTAATTGACAGGTCTCAGTAAGGACACATTTACTTAAGTCGAGTATCTATATAATTGAGCCTTGGGTAACCGTAATAAGAAAAGTGAAGAGACAGATTAGGTTCCATACGATGTGTTTGTAAAATATTTGTAACAACAATACGTTTTGTCAATAAGGACCAAATTATGAGATAAATTAATAATACTAACACGTAAATTTAGGTAAGAAACAAAAATGTTCAGCCAGAGAATCATATTGCATCAGAGTATTTATTCTAACAATAGTTTTTTAATACATTAATTGAATTAGTGAAACTAGAGGGGTTACAAGAGCATATACTTTCTCGCATTGTTGTAGTTACGTGCTATTGAAATATTGTTATTTCTGTCCAATTAATAACTCAGCTGTAACTTGAAAAAGTCCAATTCAACAAAGCAAAGCTGAAATTTGATGGATATAATATAAATATAAATTTTGCTGGATAGAAATTAGAATATAGAAAATTTATGATTTTTTGCAGTTTTCGAAAAATCAGGGTTTTTAACGAAAATTAGACTTGTGCATAAATGTCCTTTATACTAACGAACGATAAAATTTAATCAAAAATATTGGAGCTATTTTTTGTTTTGAAAATGTCCCAGGGTCTTCATAGAAAGGAAAAAAATATGCTAAAATTTTAAATGATTAAACATTCATTCATTTTTATAATTTATTAGAAAAATTGAATAATTTAACTAGTATAAAAAGTATTACATAACTAATACTAAAGGCGAGAAATTTTGTGCTGTTTTAACATCACAATTTCATTTCCAAAGCGCTGATAGTTTTGTATTTTTGAATAAAATAAATTTCTGTTTATTAATAAAAGTAAAATATTTAATAATTATTCCATAGGCAATAAATAAATAATATTAATTAATTCTTCTTAAAATTTATTCAATAATATTTGGTATACAAGTTAATGATTAATTATGCACAAAGGGCATTATACGAGTTTTATTGACACTAGCAACAAAAAGACATGTCGTATTATGACGAGAAGAATTTGCTCTTGAAAAAGTAAAAAGTACAGTGAGATATTTCTGCATTATTTTAATGTAATAGAATGTGAAAGTAATTGTCAAGAACGCATGTACAGTAAATTGAATATATACGTACAGTACATTTAATGAACGTGTGTACATTAAATGTAATTGTAAACGACACAATGTAATATACACGTACTTTAAAGTTACTGTACGTGTATATTACATTTAACGTGCGTTCATGATAATGACTTGTAATTACGTTTACATTAACAGTAACACAGAAATTTCTGCCAGTGTAACTAATTATCGAGGAAATAAAAGCAAGTTATATTATTTCACAAATCAGACCTTAGCGGTGATTGATTTTATGTCACCTTCTCGGTGATTGCATGCAGTCAGTGATGTTAGGCGATTCTCTATTGTCATTTAATTCTAATTATCTGTCCTTAAATTGTACTTTTCTAATTAATGAAATTATCATTTTCATAAGTAATACCCCGAGTGTTTTGGAAATTGTCGATAAATCCCCTACTCACGAAGCGAAGAGGGGACTTCCATGAGAATTTCCGAAGTACGAATGGCATTTAATAGGACTATTCTACGAATGAAATTACGTCTCACAGAGTTCAAAAATGCACCAAACATTGAAAATAACGGGAAGCATGTTATAATCATGAGATTATGTTATAGGACATATGCGGTTTATAGAACATCAGCACAGCAATCGATACATCGATACACAGCACGAGTCGCAGTTTATAATTGGCTAGTAGGGAGAGCCGCTAAGAAAATCTGATAGAAAAAACCTTACATTTTTTTGAGAAACAATGCCATGATTGGGGCATTGCATGTATATAGTTAAGCACTATTTGTTTCAATTTCACGAGTGGATTAGTTTGGGTCAATAATTTTGTTTCTTACCTAGCATTTTCTCTTTAGTTTTATTCTTACTTTTACATCAGAATTCGGGACATATTGATGAAACATATCGTTGAAACAATTATTCGATTAACATATTGTATTGTACAGAACGCAGTGTCTCTTTTGTTTTTTTGATTCCATGGTATCGTGATGAACTTAGGCTGGGTTTAAAAAATACTTCATGCAAGAAAACATATCCCTACTGATTCCGTTTTTCGGAGTGTCAATCATTTAACAAAACAAATAATTCGTTCACAATTTTTTTCCAGCATTATTCAGTGATACTAGAATGCTGCCGTGAGATAGCAAGTGAGAGCTATTCTCCCGTTTTGTCCAGAAGGCCGAAAAGTCGATGTTTTTCAGAGCGCTTTAGCGCCTAAACTGCTAAGAAAATTAAAGATAATATAGGCATATGCATTTTGTACGAAAATTCGTGAAATTTAATTTTGTAAACAGTTATCGTTTCGATAACTGAAAAAAAGCGTATTATTTAGTTTTTTTGCAATTTTCTCTGGGAAGCCGGATCTTTTTCTAGGTGTCAAACATATAATTCGAATTCAGTATCCCGTAAAACACATGGGGTCTTAAAAAAACTTCTGTATTTTTGTTTCTGAATCAGGTACCTAGGAGCCGGACTAATTGTCGTTCTCGAGTCTTTAGTAGCATTTTATTCCCTACAACAGGGAAACTGCTATCAGGACAAAAATAAATTAGCATTACCTGTCTGAAAGATCGCCGAAGATAATAGACCCCAGCAGCACACCCACCATGAACAGAGAATCGGCTGTAGCCCGTAACCACGCATCGTCACATACCATATTCCACTGTGGACAAATATTAGAAATAATGCATTAATCTCGGACCTCCCTTACACTTGCAACAGGAAAATCTCTCCGCGCCAACGGAAACATATTAAAAATTGTATTCACATTGGTTGCAACCAAATCATTGGGTAACAAGAGAAGGGAACAATGCTTCCAGCATCTGTTATGATTGTGATTAATACGCAGTTTACGTTTTCTTTTGTTAGAATCTGCAGCTCGTGCTGCAATCATAATGTTGCTAGCAGTGTCACCAGTAAGGTTTCACTTCGGAGAGACTTTCCTTGAGCGCGTACACACACCTTTGGTCCATTGACCAAACAGCCCAGCCACCCACGCAGCTGCGGCGTCGGCGGAACGCATGATTAAGACGGAAGCATGCCACTGCAGTCAGCGAGGAGTTCGCAACCTAGTATCCTCTGACCGGTATTTGCCGGAGAGGTAAACGCGAGGGATCAGTCCTGAGAAGGTATTACTCGCGCAACTTTTCTTGAACGATAGATTGAAGAAATATGGGTAGAGTGAGGGTATTAGTTACGAAATCGACCACCAGATTTTATGAAGCAATGCCAATCTCTAGAGTATCAGTCATGCCTTCGCAACATTCTCAATAATTTGCTATCTAACTTTCTCAGGAGTTCGAGGTATCTCCTGTGATAGATCTTTATCTGCTTTGGCGATTTATTTAGATATTTGGAGAAAATAACGGAAAGAAGTTCTCGTCTTCAAAAGAAAAATGTTTCTATTTCGCGCCAGTGAAGATGTGTTAGGAATGTCATCAGTGGTCGCTGCGAGCTTTTGCCTCAACAGTTTATTGTGCCAGTGAGGGGGAGCAAGGTCATCGTTCAAGAAAAGTTGCGCGAGTATTATGACGTGCTAAGTCCCCTCCGCGTAAGGGTCGTCACTTTAATACGCCGGACGAGAGACCGGCAGCATCTTGGTTGCGTCGTCGGCGGTGTTGGGTGGTTGGTCGTCTGAATACGTTAAGTGGCCAGAAAGGAAAACGCCATCTTCAAAGATTTTCTGAAAGTATTTAACGACGATAATTAGCGTGAGATCCGCCATTACACATTGAACCATCTTAGCATTCGCCTGTATAACCGAAGTAAACCACGAAAACCTCGGTCAGGATCAGGATCGCATCCGAGCCTCTCGAACACTTTGTCCACCAGGAAGAAATGAAATTCGAGGAAGAAATGAATGGTAGAAGCGTCCCAAGCTCGCATCGCTTCCTGAATAGCAAATGACCGAAGTTTATAGCGTTTGAAATTACGCCTGAACCTTAACCTGTTGTCCTCGGAAGGCATCTCAGAGATGACATAAGGAAATGGCGCGCTGTCTCGGAAGACTGGCGCGCTGCGCACCTGCGTCAGCTCAGCCATTGATTCGCGGTCTGGGAAGGAGGCGAGTAGCACTTCATTCTATTGGCATTTTATTTTAAACAATCTTGTGTTCGTTCGTAATTTGTTTGGTAATAGTCTCACCGTAAACTAAATATTTGAATACTTGTTTCTAAAAAAGACAATCATTTTTTAAGCATGGAAAATTGCATACTAATACGCCTACATTTTCTTTGACATTCATTGACTATAAAATATATGGAATAAACAACTCAATACAATGAGAAAATAATAATTATTTTATTTTTAGCACAAATTATAATACATACAGAAAATATATATACATTTGAATTTCCTTTGAACTTTTTTTCGTGTGGAATAGATCAAAACATTCCACAGTGTGGAGGACCTGATTGCCAGGACAAGTCTGGCAGTACACATTTGTTGTTTTACTTCGTTTTTTAGTCGCTGCAGACTATTTCCCTTTTTAAAATAAATGTCATGAAATTTGCCGTTAAGTCTGGCGGTGTTCAATATATCATTTAAATTAGAAGAAGAGCGCTTCCGTTGAGTTGTTGCCATTCTCCTACTCGTTGGTGTATTAGCTTCTTTCTCAAGTGTCACTGTGGTATTTCTTCTTCCAGAAAAGCCTGATTATACACATGGTACGCGTTATTTACTGCTACATCCAGCAGCCGGAAGAATAACTTCCTCCACCACTTTGCACTTTTACGCCCGAAAGCGTATGTCGTTGTATAGTGATCGGTTACGTCAACCACTCTCATGAATGTATTGTATTCACATGCAGCAACGGGTTTCTGAAGTTCACTGTCTTTCCATATTCCACCGCACTTTTGTTTCCGCACTATGGTCTTATGTTCATTATCATAATAACTACTTAGGGTTACAACTACTCGTTTGTATTTCCATGCAGCCACAGACATTTTCGATGTTCTCATAGAAACAACATAACCTTTTCTAATTTTTTTAAATTTTTGGGTTTTATCTCAGCCAAAATGCCTTTACTAAAGGTATTTACAGTTCCTCTCAAATGTACACCCAATTTAAGTAGTTCCCGTAACAGTTGTGGGCTGGTATAGTACCCTTCTGTGAAACTGTGAGCCCCTCTTCATCCTCAGGGTATTTCAGATAATAATGTAATTCAGATTTGTCACCAGGTGTACAACTTCTGCATGTGAATAGCAAGACAGGTCTCAACATATTAACACATACTTGTGCTTCGAAATGCGGTTCTAGAGCATAAACATATTCATTTTTGGCGTCAGACAATAAGCACTTTGATACCCCATTTTGCCGGTTTATCTTTATTATATGTTGTGAATGAAACTCTTCCTTTAAATCCAACAGCACTTTCGTCTACCGAAACTTGTTTGATTGGAGTATAATACCTTTGAAAATTTGTTTCCAAACAGTACATTACCTTTTTCATCTTCCGTAAATTACTTGACAGAGCATTTTCTGACATGTTATTCTCTGGAATGTTAACATGTCAGATAATTTGAAGAAATCTCTCTCTACTAAAAACATCCCCCCAAAACGGCTGATAGTCTAACCAACCTGTACTACTGTCTTGTACTTCTGGTTTATTATTTAAACCCATGTTCAATAAAACACCCAAAAATCCCTTAAATTCTGAATTGGTGACGTGACGCCAATTTGACCGTATACTGCGTTTTGTAAAAGGCATATTTCTCTTTACTTGGCCTTCATCGGACCTGTTGGTTTCATTTACGCCTTCGATCACGTCATCGGAAAAAAATAGTTGAAACAATTTTAATGGTGTTTTAGGCTGATTAACTCTTGGTGGTTGATATCCTGGTTTTAAAAGAAATTGAATTTCATCAAACTTATTGTCTCTATCACTCCAAGCAGTCCACACATCATCACCATGTACAATGTCATTGCTGTCCTAACCCCCTTTTTGCATCAGAGTCCAGTTCATGTGAAGACTTTTCCTCTGCTTCATTACATAAAAAATCATCATCAGAGTCACTGTCAGCTTCGTTAGCTCCTGAAAAATGTATTTATCTCTCCTTCGCTCAAACTGTCCATTTTCACGTGCTAGCAACAACAACCGGCTCACTGCACCTCTGAAATACGCCCTAACTAAACAACGAAAATGAATGAGATAAAATATTTTTGATCATATAGCGATGACATTAATTAAGACAGTCAATCTATTTACGGTTCCAAGCGCAGTCACATGGTTGAAACAGATAATGTCTAGAAAAATTAACGAAAAACATCTGTCATCTCTGCGATGCCCTCCGACTGGATCCGGAAATCGGTGGTGTCATCTGAGAGATGCCCTCCGTCCTATAGGACCTTCCTCCTCTGACCAACCTCCGAGCTGGAAGCCATCTTTGAATTGAATTGACGTGATCGAAGGAATTTGGAGAGTCATTTGAGAGGAAATTTTCGCAAATTTTCTCTCAAAAATCGCTCAAAATTTTTCTTTAAATTTTCTCTAAAAATATGGTGCTGTTACAACGTAACTCCTAGGCCGAGAGCTATTACTTCCATTTGCACTGAATTACAGAGCAGTTATTTCATAAATTACTGCTCAGAATACTCGGTGGAAAGGGATGTATTGCGTTTTTTTATGAAACATCATATACAACAAAGTAGGTCAGAAAGTTTTCTGTTTGAAATATAAGTACAAAATTTCATTAAGATTGAAATAAAAAAGATTTCAATCAAAGAACAAAAATAAAACAATTATACAAAATGATAGTACGAGTATACTACGAGCTAAAGTTATGTCCCACAAAATACTCTCCCTTTCAGTGAAACCCCCATAGATATCGTTTTTCCTCTCCAGAGATTAGCCCGAACAAACAGATAAAATTGTAAAAAATAATTGAATTAATTTTTATACTATTTGAATAATTATATAAGACTAAAAAAGCAATCATTTTAAAATTATAGACAGACACAGGTCCTTTAATTTCGCTTTCTCATTTATACAAGTTATTTTTAATTTCATATTAGAGAAGTTGTCCAAGTATTGTGCTCCACATGTTCTGATAGCATACTCAAAGAAAATTTGAATGATTATACCAACGTTCTCCGATAACCAGTGTGATTCATTTCTGAGAAAGATAAGTTAGTTTTATATATAAAAAATTAACCACTTGAAGTAACTACATCAAATTGCTCAACACTCATCAAAGTATCCTTAACATTTTCTGTGGCGTCTTACCTCAGTGACCACACTACTGTGGTACTTGGAACGATCATACACCCATCCGCCGTCACATGGCATGGAGGTGTTCCCACCCCCGCTCATGCATGTCCCTGGCGTAAAATTAGCGTCCAGTCTATAGCAGGAGGACCAAGTCTTTGCTTTATAATCCCAAGGATAAGATGTATTCCATACACTGTTGTCCAGTTGGTAACTGGCGTTGGTTTCTTCGCAGGGTAGTTGACACCTGGAATATGAGGAAGTGGAGTTAGATGGTCATTGAAAAATACGTCAAAGGCAGTTATTTGATAACAGGATGTGTAATTTATAGTTTTATTCAAAACCAATTAAATGTGCAAAGTTATATTTATTCATGTCACATTAAATCAATCGTTTGCTTCTAGTGGGCCTTGGACAATATTTTGGTGCTCCATGCGTGCATTTCTTGCCAAATCTACTTGCGCTAACTATTGCATTTTTTTAATTTGAAAAGGAAGTTATTTTCTCTACACAATATTCTATATAGGCTTAAATAAATTTGTTTTCAATTTGTACAAATAAGCTATCAACTAACAGTGCTATTTATGGATTGTAAAATTACTTCGTCAGCGTCCTGCGTCAGATTTAAGACGAAACTAGTTGTTCTAGAATAGCACATACTTTGTCTCTCTTAGTAATGGTTTCGTAATATTATTATACCGCAATTTCTACTTATATCACCCAGTAGCGGCTCCTGAACAAATGATGAGGGTAGGTGAAAAAGAATTCTGAACAATGGCAGATCATGGGAATAGATCATAGAGGCCATTCCCCACTTCAATCCATTTTTTTGTCATTTATTCATAAAAATTGTCTCACTGATATCATTCCATTCCAAAGCATTATTTCTACGGAGCTCGTTCAGACCAACATAAGAGTAGGTCAACCATTGCCCAATATGTGAGAAATATACTACCATTGTCCGAGAAAGAGGTGTGCGTAGTAGTTCATTCACTGTGCCATAATATTAACGTAAAATCATACTCAAATAAAAACCAGTGGTACTAAACAGCACATACTTTCTCGCCCCCTTACTAACGATTATGTAATATTATATCGCATATCAATTAAGCAAAATGAGGTATAATTTACTGATTAGAGCATTATGACGTTCATTTACTGTATTTTCTTGTATCTTAACTTCAATAAATCGAATTAGAAAGTAATTGTATTTGTTGTGTTGGTATTAAAGCGGGTAAAAAGTATTCAAAAGGCCCACGCAGCCATAAAAAAATAGAAAGGCCCACAAGGGTATTAACTACACCGTTACTTGTTTTTTTATGTCCATAAACATACTGCAATGAACTAGTAAGCCATAATAGTTATTTATGGATCTAGGGCGTTAAGTATATGCTTTTTCCCAGAGGGCGACTTCCAAACCCGAGGGGTTGGAAGTCGCTTTAGGGCGAAAAACATCTAATAACGCCCGTAGTGCAAAGCAAAACTTTATGGTTTACTACTTCGTTGCCAAATCAAAAATAATTCGAAACATTTTATAACTTTTCCTACGTCTAAAATGAAAAGACGCATTCTGCGTCTAATAACTACTGCATACTCGTTGTTGGACTGATTTGTTCATACAAAATGAAAGAATATAGTGAAGTTCCAGTAGAACTTCTTGCATAAGTTAACAAAGCTACGAACAGTTGTTTTCCAGTAAAATCGCTTGAATTATATGACAATGATAATGGTGTAATTAAGAGTTATATAACAGTGTGAATTGCGCTGTTGAAGCGGTACTTTTAGATTATTTGCCGCTATCACAAAATGTTATTTAGAATATTTCGTAATTAAAAAAAATAACATTTCGAGGATGTTAGCCGATGTGCCTTACACATTTTATTACTACTAGTAGTACTCCCACTCAAGATGCTCATCTATCTCCAAAAAAGGCGATACATAACAGTGAAATATGAGAGACTGAAGGCAATTATAAATTCAGGGGAACATTCCAAAATTGCAATTTTCATATCAATTAAGCAAAATATGGTTTATAACTAGTTATTATACGTATTTGAGCGACGTATCATTTATTTATTGTATTTGTTTGTATCCAAACTTTAATAAATCGAATTCATAACAATGTTTGTGTTGGGTTGGTATAAGTGCGGGTCATACAGTATTCAAAAGGCCCTCCGGCATAAAGAATCAGAAAGGCCCGCAGGGGTATTAACAATACCGTAACGTGTTTTGCTTCAGGTCCGTAAACACACAGCAATGTACTAGTAAACTATAAAATATATTTTCAGCATTTAAGAGAGAATGTTTACACCGACAGTGAGGAAAATAATAGTATTAAAATTATATTTATTATAGGACGATTATAATATCACGAACATGTGTATTTTTTCCACACATTTTTGAAAAGTAAAAAATAGCTGTTTTTGAAAAAGCTGTAGCTTTATTACTAATTTTGTTGAAAGAATGTTTGATAAAAAAGATGTAAACATTTTATTCTGTTTTAAAATGTATTTGAAATTTTTTAACGTGACTTAAGGTAAAATAGAGTAAAAATCGAAATAAGCCCGAAAAAATAAAGATATTTGGGGCGTGCCGCAGTTAGTACAGGGCCAGAGGGCGAAAATATGAAGTTTTAACTAGTACCTGGGTCCACATAACATACTCAAAGAAAATATTTTTATGACCTTTTCCCACCTTTTCAGTACCTGCCGATTGGACTACCGGGACAAATGTCGGAGCAGGACCCTAACAAACGAACCACGGACCGGGTGCGATCTTTCTTTCCTTGTCCTTTCCTCCCCCTTACTGACAAACACTAACACGCACTTAACTACCACACATGACGGGAGACCAGACGGGAGTTGAGAGCTACTCCCGGCTGGGGCGGTGCCACGCTGGTGGGAGATACCGAGTTGAGGAAAGTCTCCATAAGCCGATGTAGGTCGGTTTCGGACTTTGCTAAAGAGCGGGAGAATAATCATTTCCAGGGATAAAAATATGCACTACACTTACGGGACTAATGACCTTATTAGTTGACACACCAGGGACCACCAATCAATCAACCGAGACGGGACCAAAAGATCACATGGCCAAATGTGAAGAATACTGAGACAAGTCTATTAGATGGGTTCGTAGGCTTCCGCGGCCGGAGTCAATACATTCTTGGCTATCCGGGATGAGCCGCGTCTCGGTCAATTGTACTGACGTTTCGGCCATCTTGCTATAGCCTTCTTTAGAGCTATGGCTTCAGAACATAGCTCTGAAGAAGGACACAGCAAGATGGCCGAAACGTCAGTACAATTGACCGAGACGCGGCTCATCCCGGATAGCCAAGAATGCAAGTCTATTAGATATTCGGGGAGCGCGAATGTGCTTTTCACTGATAATTGTCAACAATTATAATTGTTTCCAGAGGAGAGGTAACTTCCGCAAAAGGCCCTGGCGATTCTTTTAGGAGCCGGTAGATAACAGCTGCGAAGAGAGTTAGGCAAAACCGAAAACGTATCCCAGACTGAAGCGAGCAGGAAACCAACGAATACCGGAAAGTCTGTGACAATCAGTAACAGAACTTGTTTTCTATGTTCCATTCTGTTTTAGATTTATTAGCGTTAAAAAATCACTCTCAAAATGTCTCATGATTTTGATTCTACTACGACGTACCCTAAAATGCTCTTTATTTCGGAAGTATTGATGGAAGTTGTGTGATACGTCTGTGCGTTCAAATATAAAATAAAGAATACGCGTATTATTCATGTTCCAATTCCTCATTTAATCCAATAATTGTTTTTAGGTGAATTGTTTAATTTCCTCTTTTTTTAAGAGAACAAGACATACTTGCATGAAAGAAATTTTTTGGAAACAAATATGTCGTTTGCAATAAGATTATGCCCAATAACGCGATTGTCAAAGATTGATGATATTGACAATCTTTGCTCACTGGTACAATTCGCTGATTTGGCCTGTAAATTATACTTCTCCCGTGCTTAAGGCCGGGGAAATCGATATAAATTTCGTTCCTTACCTGTGATTTGCTTTTGCCAACAAGAAGACACCGGCGAGCTTGTGTAATGCGCAGGAAATGGCAGGCAGACAAAGGAGCAAGTATACTCGCTTCTGGTACCTGCCGAACACCCCCAGCCGCACGAGCACGTCGTCGAAAGCCATCTCCGGAAGCTAAGAGACAGCTGCAGCTGCAGACTTGCCCTGCAAAACAACAAAGAACAAAAACGTTCACAAAGATGTTTTTATCCCCAGATGGCGTTGTGAAAACACTAAAATTCGATATAAACCTCCATATTTATCTGGTGGTGTATAAATCTAAACATAGTATGCAAATTTTAAATTCAATACATAAAATGTTTAGACTTTTTAAAAATATATCTTAATAAAGAGGGTGCATAATTAAATAAAACTTCTTTCTTTTGTGATGTGTTATCACACGTATAGCTAAATAAAAAGAGAAAAGGCATATTAATGTGAGATAGGAAATACTCGTCCACAACAATCATGTGCAACAATCATGTCCACAATAAGAAGTGATTTTTGTGAACGATTATTTCCTATCTCACACTATGGATTACCACGAGATATCTGCTACCACCACCTAATTTAAAAGCGTTTTAAATGTAATTATACACAACGGCACCAATGGGAGAGATGTGATAAAGTAGTAATCGTAATTAATAACATAACAAAGGAATGTCAACACAAGTGGTAACGGGAGAAAAAGAGAATAATTTAATAGTTAAATTCATAGAATAAACATGAGTAATTTCTGTGTGTGTGTGGAAATAAGTGAGAAGAAATATTACGAACAAGGGACCAAAGAATAAATAAATCCAATGTAAAATTGCGAAGGACCAATCAGAAATGAGGTCATGAGCGAGGTACCGAATGGTATGCGCAATAGGAGGGAAGAAGAGACACGTTTGTGGAAGCCGCAAACAGGCGACCCCAAAGAACTCGGACGTTCAACGGAAGAGGTCGGAAGAAAAGGTCAGGTTCCGATATAGTGAAAGTCGAAGTTAAACTTTCGTTTAATTGTACGTGATAGCAGTTGGGACATATAACCTTTAATTTATGAATAGTAACGTCATTGAGAAGTAAATGGTATAAATAACGCGCAGTGGGAAGGGGAATATAATCGCGTGTGTGAATAAAAGGGACACAATTGTTTGTTTTTAAATGAATGAAGCCAAAATGGAAATGGAATGAACATCTCGACGTTCAAGAATTCAGTTGCTCCACAGAAAAGTGATGTAACAAAATGAGGGACATTTTAAATTCGTAATTATAGGAAGAACAAGTAATTCTGTAGTAGTTTTACGAATTCTACATTAATAATTAAAAATGGAACATTGTCCGTACATGCAAGCGGAGGGAATTATTAAAGAAATATATTAGAAGATAGAGGGGAGCTTGACAAAACAAATGTATTTGTAGAAATTGTGTTTATTATTCGATGAATTGAGATAAGTGTATGCCAAATGTACGTTTACATCACAATATAAAGGCGATATTGTAAACAAGAGTAAGTATTTTTATTTCTAAAATAAAATAGCAACAAGGAGGGTTCCTACGTAAATATTTCGTCCGTGAAACTATGTACACCCGCAAATAAAAAATTTATGACGACAGAACAGCTTCGGTAGAACCTTTGGGCTACGATCGGATAAAGATTGAATATAATAAATATTTAAAAGGTACCAGGAGCTGGGAACGTCTCACTAGATGATCTGCAGTAATGTGAAATATAACGGCGAACATTCTAATTAAGGAAATTACTTTCAAGTTTCTTGAAACCTTCGCTCGTCCGTCATAAATGATTAATTATTTAAAAATAATAATTAACATCTTAACCATTTAAAAATCCCCCCTAAAAACACGTTCTCCCTAACACCCAACAAAGATGATCAAGGAATGCCACACAATGGCACAGACTCTCTCTTATAGTTAGGTTTCCCCTGAGTCTGGGCTTTGTCCCATCCCCTTCCCAGGTGCTATATATTGACGCCTGAAAGTCTAATGGTGAGTCTGATGGTCTGGGTGTTATGAACCAGTTTCTCACACAAACAGATTGTACACGCATCTCACATTCTGTAGCTTGAGAGGAACAGGAGTTCACGGACGAATTAGGGTTGAAACATATGAGGGAATCGGAATGCCTCCACACAGCACGCCAAAAAACTGAACCTAAAACATTCAAGTTTTACGAGAGTTTCCAACCCACACCCTGACTTCTGCACTATTTGACCCATCCGACCGTGCTACGATTTGCGAAGCAGGTACATGCGCTGTGGGCCACAATCGCGGAATGAATCAATACCAAGCAATTATGAAACAAAATATAATGAAGATACAAGAAGCCGTAACTTTGAAAACTGACAGTGAGAGGGAAAATACTCAAAAGTCGACTCTCATTCCGCTTTGGTGCAAAAAATAAATAAAGTAAGTCTAATAACCATGACTGTAAAACATAACATAATACACAAAATCTAATTTCGTAAATTTGCCTACAGCAAGTCATAAATTAGAAGCAGAAATTTTACATCGCGAGGAGGCATTACAATTTGTTTAAGGCTTTAAAATCTGTTTGGAGTTATGGGTGTCTATGTTAACGAGAATTTATTTAAGTGTTAAATTAAAATTCTGAATTGGAATTTATCCAAAATGTAGAAAACATTATTTATGGTGGAAAATCAGAAAATGAAGAATTTGCCTTCACATAAGATCAAATTTCATCTTTGAAGTATGCTCCAATTACGTCTTGTATAGCATTTTCTGCATTTAAAAACGTTTGTTTCGGACAAAACGAGAAATTTGACAGAGTAAAATTGAGATAAATTATAAATTCTTACAAAAGGAAAACAACAACAACAAAATAACAACTGAAATTTGATCGTGCGTGTATTGACAAAGTTTGTTGTGCATCGTGCATGTTTGGCTATTTGATAATGCATGTTTATATGCACATTTTAGCATTTGACAGAACATGGAAATCCTGTCTCTAAATATCTCCATTCGTTTCTATAGCATCAACGTAAACCAAGTTATTTTTTGCTTTACGATTTATCAATATCGCGTCTCGAGTCGAGACAGATAGCTCAGGAACATTCATTTTTGAAAAAAAAATCACCTACGAATAGTTTAGGTGTGAGAGTTGTTTCCAGATGACAGTCAGACTGGTAAAAAGACAGACCGACGTTTTGAAAATAAACAAACCTTTTTGGGCATCAGGGGACCACAAAACGCCTTTTTTGCGGTTTTAATTGTGTACTCCTTAGCATATCCAACTGCTTTACCCATTTTCGGATGTTCAAATGAGATCGACGTGGAGTTTACTTGCGTAAAAAGCCACTTGGCACGCCTCCCTTTGGAGGGGAAGACAAGTCGGCTGCCTCAAGAAGTACATTTAATGCATGTAAAAAATCCTACTTAAAAGAAGATTTTGAGCTAAATTAAAATCGCTTGATTCATCGCCCAAGTGATACCTTCTTTGTCTGCTAGATGGCGAAAGGAGCGTTCCAAAATTTCTTTCGAGCAGGTTTGACGGTCTCAGCCTCACAACGTTAAAATAAGGCATTGTTTAATTGAACTGAAGAAAATAAATGACCGCTTTTACGCAAAACATAACTTTCTCTAGTAGTATATTGATCCGTATATACTGAGTTGACAAAAGTCATGGGATAGCAATATGCAAATACACAGATGGAAGTAGTACTGTGTCCAACGGTATAAAAGACCACTGCATTGCCAGTGATTTCATTTATACTGTAGTGATTAATGTGAAATGGTTTCTGGCGTGATTATGGCCGCACGACGGGAATTAGCTTTGAACACGGAATAGTGGTTGGAGCTAGACGTATGGGACATTCCATTCCGAAATCGTAAGGAAATTCAATATTCCAAAATCCACCGTGTTAAGAGGGTGCACGTATAACCTCCCATCACGGACAACGCAGTGGCCGCAGATGGCTTTCATTTAATGACCGAAAGCAGCAGCGTGTCCGTAGAGTCGTCAGTGCTAACCGACTAGTAACACTGCGTGAAATAATCACAGACATCAATGTGAGACGTACGACGAACGTAATCGTTACGACAGTGCAACGAAATTTGGCTTGAATGGGGAATGACAGCAGAAGACCACCTCGAGTGCCTTTGCTAACAGCACGACATCACCTACAGCGCCTCTCCTAGGCTCGTGATCAAGTCAAAATCAAAATACTCGTTTCAAATTTGCAGGACTTCGAGTTCTGCCAGATCCATTGGGAATAACAATTTTGGAAAACACAGTCTGATTGGTTTAGGCTCTAGAATTGCACACGGACGGACGGACGGGCAGATAGACAGAAAAAGAAATAGACGTTTTCATTAGCAATTTTTTTCGATAACAAAGACCCACAAAACATAGGTTCTGAGTACACAACGTGATAGAGGAAGAAATTGTCTGTCCCCTTTCTGTATCAGGACCCCACAATAAGAGTTTTTTTCTTAAAATCATCATTTGTTTTCGTAGCATTTCAATATTGTCTGTATAAAATGTAAGAAGTTTGTAAGGAAGTAAAAACACTTTTTCGGTATCAGGAGACTCTTAACTTATATTTCTGTTTACACCCGCGATTTTCCGCAGCACTGAATAACTTTCTCTATATACTATGTTAATTACCCCGTATATACGTACGTATACGCGAAACCCCTCCCCCCTAAATTCAGGGGGGAACCTCCTAACCTGGCAACACTGGCGCCTGAGCGGCGTGGTGCGGCGACCGCCAGGCGCGCGCGGGGTCGCGGGTCGATGCGGAGGGCGCCGCTCGGCGCCGTGCGATCTCCTGCCAACGCACTCTCCGTTCCGCAATCAGGGGCACTCACACAAGACTTCAAGTTTGGGTTTCAAGGGTTTATTAATCGATCGAAAACGAATTCAAGAAATTAGATAAATAGTTGGGTACACAACGGAATAAGAACTAATGGTTCAGGTACTTTCTTGCTTTAGTAACTGCTACGTAATATTACAATTTTGCAGTTTCTGTCCATGTTAACACATCTCAGCCTTTTCATTTGAAAATGGCATTATCAAACGAAACGCAATAGTTGCGAATACTCTCTTAAAGCGAATACAAATTCGACAATCTCAACACAATCTACTCTAATCCGACAATTCAAAACTGTTCCATACACTTTGAAGTCCATATAGTTAAACATCG